ATTCATATTTGGGAATAGTGGTTGCCTCTGTCAAGGGAGGAAGAGGGTAGGTGGGAATGCTGTCCTCCAGCTGACAGTGGGGACATGTGGGAAGCACTTTATCACCATCCTCTAAACAATTCATATAATGAAGTGGTATGTACCCTTTTGTATGTATTAGATTGAATAAGATGAAACATCCATTTGTACAGGTCAAAAATAGCTGAATATTAAGCAATTTCATCTAGTTTTGACCTACCAAATTTCATAATGATAAAACAAAACCAAAAGATTTTATGCTAATAAATTTGAAAATTTGATGAAATGGGCATGTTTCTAGAAAAATATTCCTTATCAAAAACTGACTCAAAATCGAAAAATTCAACCTAAAATTTATACAAAATCTCAAGGAACCCCAAATAGCCAAAACAATTCTGAAAAAGAATAAATTTGGAGGACTCACACGTCCTGATTTCAAAACATACCACAAAGCTACAGGAATCAAAACAGTGTGGTGCTGGCTTAAAGACAGACGAATAGACCAATGGAACAGAACAGAGAGCCCAGAAATAGAGCCTCACATACACGGTCAACTGGTCTCTAACAGAGCTGCCAAGACCATTCAGCGGGGAAAGGACATTCTCTTCAACAAACGGTGTTGGGAACCGGAGACCCACATGCAAAAGAATGAAGTTCAACCCTTATCTTACACCATACACAAAGATCAACTCAAAATGAATTAAATAACTAAATGTAAGACCTAAAACCATAAAACTCCACAAGAAAACAGGGGAAAAGCTTCATGACATTGGCCTTGGCAATGACTTGGAAACAACACCAAAAGCACAGGCAATGAAAGCAAAAGTAGACGAATGGACTATGTGAAACTTCCAAACTTCTGTGCATCAAAGTACACAATCAACAGAGTGAAGAGACAACCTATGGCACTAGGACTGGAAGGGAACTTCCTTAATTTCATAACGGTGTCTACCCAACAATGATTAAACATTGAGAACATTCCCTGTGCTTCCATTCAACGCTATACTGTCCAGGGAAGTAAAGTGAGTAAAGGAAACTGTAGTTAAAAGGACTGGAAAAGAAAAAGCAAAACAGTCATTACTGGCAGATGACATGATTGTGTAAGTAGAAAACCAAAAAGAAGCCACAAAAGGAATCCAAAAAGAATTATTAGACTTAAGATAAGAGTTTACAAGGTTGCTTGACATGAAATCAATACATGAAAGTCAATTGTGTTTCTATATACCAGCAACACAATCAAAAGTAAATTAAAAAGAAGACAGCATTTATAATAGCATAAAAAAGCAAGTCCCTAGTAATAAATCTAACAAATGATGTGCAAGTCCGTTAGGAAAAATGTATTGAAAAGATCTTTTTTTTTTTTTTTAAAGATTGGCACCTGAGCTAGCAACTGTTGCCAATCTTTTTTTTTTTTTTTTTAAGATTTTATTTTTTCCTTTTTCTCCCCAAAGCCCCCCGGTACATAGTTGTATATTCTTTGTTGTGGGTCCTTCTAGTTGTGGCATGTGAGACGCTGCCTCAGCGTGGTCTGATGAGCAGTGCCATGTCCGCGCCCAGGATTCAAACCAACGAAACACTGGGCCGCCTGCAGCGGAGCACGCGAACTTAACCACTCAGCCACGGGGCCAGCCCCTTGCCAATCTTTTTTTTTTCCTTCTTTTTCTCCCCAAATCCCCCCAGTATATAGTTGTATATTTTAGTTGTGGGTCCTTCTAGTTGTGGTATGTGGGACACCGCCTCAACGTGGCCTGATGTGTGGTGCTATGTCCCCGCCCAGGATCCAAACCAGCGAAACCCTGGGCCACCATAGCGGAGCACGTGAACTTAACCCTTTGGCCACGGGGCCGGCCCCTGAAAAGATCTTAATAAATGGAGATACACTATGCTCATAGATGGGGAAACTCAATATTTTAGAGATGGCTAGTCTCCAAAGTGATTCAAAATTCAACAAAATCCCCCATTTACCCCTTCAAAACAAAATCCCAAAAGAGTTTTCCCTGGAACTTAAACTTAAAAGGGAAACTAAAAGAACTCAATCCCATTCACAATTGCAACGAAAAGAATAAAATACCTTAGGATAAATTTAACCAAGGAAGTGAAAGATCTATACAATGAAAACTACAAGACTTTCTTGAAAGAAATTGATGACGACATAAAGAGATGGAAAGACATTCCATGCACATGCATTGGAAGAATAAACATAGTTAAAATGTCCATACTACCTAAAGCAATCTACAGATTCTACGCAATCCCAATCAGAATCCCAATGACATTCTTTACAGAAATTGAACAAAGAATCCTAAAATTCATATGGGGCAACAAAAGACCCCGAATTGCTAAAGCAATCCTGAGAAAAAAGAACAAAGCCGGAGGCATCACAATCCCCGATTTCAAAACATACTATAAAGCTACAGTGATCAAAACAGCATGGTACTGGTACAAAAACAGGTGCACAGATCAATGGAACAGAATTGAAAGCCCAGAGATAAAACCACACATCTATGGACAGCTAATCTTCGACAAAGGAGCTGAGGGCCTACAATGGAGAAAAGAAAGTCTTTTCAACAAATGTTGCCGGGAAAACTGGAAAGCCAGATGTAAAAGAATGAAAATTGACCATTCTTTTTCACCATTCACAAAAATAAACTCAAAATGGATCAAAGACCTAAAGGTAAGACCTGAAACCATAAGGCTTCTAGAAGAAAATGTAGGCAGTACACTCTTTGACATCAGTATTAAAAGGATCTTTTCAGACACCATGCCTTCTCAGAGAAGGGAAACAATAGAAAGAATAAACAAATGGGACTTCATCAGACTAAAGAGCTTCTTCAAGGCAAGGGAAAACAGGATTGAAACAAAAAACAACCTACTAACTGGGAAAAAATATTTGCAAGTCATATATCCGACAAAGGCTTAATATCCATAACATATAAAGAATTCACACAGCTCAACAACAAAAAATCAAACAACCTGATCAAAAAATGGGAAGGGGACATGAACAGACATTTCTCCAAGGAAGATATACGGATGGCCAATAGGCACATGAAAAGATGTTCGTCATCACTGATCATGAGGGAAATGCAAATCAAAACCACACTAAGACATCACCTTACGCCCATTAGAATGACAAAAATAACCAAAACAAAGAGTGACAAATGTTGGAGAGGTTGTGGAGAAAAAGGAGCCCTCATACGCTGCTGGTGGGAGTGCAAACTGGTGCAGCCACTATGGAAAACAGTATGGAGATTTCTCAAAAAATTAAAAATAGAAATACCATATGACCCAGCCATCCCACTACTGGGTATCTATCCAAAGAGCTTGAAGTCAGCAATTCCAAAAGTCCCATGCACCCCTATGTTCATTGCAGCATTATTTACAATAGCCAAGACGTGGAAGCAACCTAAGTGCCCATCAACTGATGAATGGATAAAGAAGATGTGATATATATATATATACAATGGAATACTACTCAGCCGTAAAAAAGAATAAAATCGTCCCATTCACAACAACATGGATAGACCTTGAGGGTATTATGTTGAGTGAAATAAGCCAGACAGAGAAGGACGATCTCTGTATGACTCCACTCATATGAGGAATTTAAACATGTAGACAAAGAGAACAGTTTAGTGGCTACCAGGGGAAAAGGGGGGTGGGGGTGGGCACAAAGGGTGAAGTGGTGCACCTACAACACGACTGACAAACAATAATGTACAACTGAAATTGCACAAGATTGTAAACTATCATAAACTCAATAAAAATTTAACAACAACAACAAAGAGCTACAACCCCCCCCCAAAAAAATTATGTTGCCTGGTGGCAGATTTATTTTCTTCCGCAGAAAGGTAGGAAAAATGTTCCCAATGCTGAGATTGAAGATGTCTGTCTTTCCTAAGGCCGCTAAGGACATAGATGTGTGCATTAGGAGTAGGGGTGGGAGGAAGGACAGGGTGTGGGGAGAGGCCAGGCTGGCTCTGGCAGATGCTGAGGGAAGTCCTTCCAGTCCTATTGTTCAGAGAGCCTCCCCCCATCAAGTCCCCTCTAGTGACGCACTCCCCACCCCCAGTGCTCAAGTCACCACGAGCTGAGCTTTTCCCACCAAGACCCCAACAGCTCCAGTGGCCGTCTCCTCCTGCCTTGTGGGCCCGTCAGTCCTCCCGTCGTCCTCCCCCTCACTGCCCACCCCGTGGGGAGTGACGCCCCAGCAGGGTTCTCCCGCCTTTGCCGTCTGCACTCCAGCCAACACAAAGTCTCCAGGGTTCTGCCCCCAGAGCATGTCTGGAATGCATCCTCCTCGCTCCACGCCCACGGCCACCCCTGGTCCAGGCTTCCCCACCTTCTCCACCCCAGGGCTACCAGTTTGTCCCCATCCAAATGCACAGCTGTCTGCAAGGCCATGGCCAGGTAAGTCCAAGTTCTCCCTGATTTGCTGCCCTCTGCACCCTGAAGGCCCATCTTGAGCACCCTTGTGCTCCAGGCAGTGGGAAACACCCTGCGGACGCATCACCCGCAGGACTGAACGAGTTAACATGCACGGAGCACTTAGACCGGCCCCCGGTGTGTCAGGACGACGGCAGTAGCAGCAGCAGTAGTGGCACTGTGTGGTTCAAGGCATGCGTAACCCTCGCTTCCTCTGCGAAGCTCTCCCTGATGCCCTGAGCACCCCTAGACTTGATTCTCCCTCCTTGGTGCCCCACAGTGCCCTCCAGAGATGGGCTCTCCTGGCAGGGGGGCCTCATCTGTTGGCAGGTAGTTCTGCCCCTAAGACCCAGGAGAGTCTTCGGGCAGGTGGCGGTGGGCTTTGTCTCTGAACAGCAGCACTGCCAGGCTCAAGCCTGGCACCCAGTAGGCGCTTGGTGGAAGGTTATAGAAAGCCCACCTGCCCACCCACACCTGCTCCAGCCAGGTGCCTGCCAAGGCCAGCAGAGGGCAGTAGCGCCCTGCCTAGTGCCGTTGGGCAAAGGGGCAGGGAGGGGCTGGGCTGCCCCGCTGGGCCGGCCGGATGAGTCGGGCTGGGCGCGATTGCATTGTGGGGAGGGAGGCCGGGACTCTGCTGGGACGCACTCCTGGCACCGCCAGCTGCTCCTTGGCTGCTGCCGCGGTCTGCCCAGGTAGGCAGGAGCTGAGGCTGGTGAGGGCATGGGGTACGGGGGCCGCCGGGTTGGGGGGTGCCACCTCAGGGTGTGCTGGGGCCCGGGAGAACCCAGGGGTCCTCAGGGCCGACTAGCCTGGATGGAGCAAAGTCCCTCAGGGGCCAGTCCCAGCCATGAGATGACACCTCCTAATGCCTGGAGGCATGGTGACCCTCCATGGAGTAGCCCTGGAGCTGGGCGTTAGGGCCCTGGGCTTCTGCCCCAAAATGGAAGAGCTAGTGCCAGCCAGAGGCAGGGCACAAGGTAGGGAGGTGGCCCGTCTGGCTCCCTGCCCCCACAGCCACCCAACCAGCCCAGCCAGGTGGCAGCAAGCCCCACTGCTGCCACCTCACCCTGGAGCCTGCTTCTGCCATGCCCCGTAGAGAAGGCGGGGACCCCAACCGGAGCGTACCTGCCACTCTGCCACAGGCCAGGGCTCTAGCTCTGCCAGCTAGGTGTGCAGCTGGTGCCCTATGAGGGTGACAGGGGAGCCAGCTGCCAGCCTCCACTCTCTTCCCCACCCGCTACCCCACCCCATGCATGGAGGGAGTCTAGGTCCATCCTGGGATGATGTTTCCCTCGGGGAGATGGAGGGGGACAGCCGGCAAACAGTTGCCATGCCCAAGGGAAAGGGCTGGGTTCCTGGGGACCATGACCCCCACCTCCTCTGGTGCATCCTCTTTGCCTCAGCCCCCTCCAGCAGTATCCTCCGCTGGCACTGCCCACTACCACCCTGCTGTACCTGGCGTGAGTTTGTCAGTCCCCCAGGGTGGGGCTAGATGGGGACAGTCCCATCGCTCGCTCTCTGGCCAGTCTTATTCCAGGCCGAAGAGGGTGAGGGATGTGGGGGGGAGAAGGTCTCCTGGACGGGCTGCCTTTGTCAGCATCTCCCCTGCCCCCAGCCTGGACAAAGGCAGGCATTGAGGGCCAGGACTGGCACTTCAGCCAAGGCACCAGGGCTACCAAGGATAAGGCTGGCATTGCAGGGGCTCAGCATCCTGATCCTCCCATGGGGGCTCCGGGGCCTACCCTGTGCCCTTCACAGGGACGGGGGCGGGGGGACACAGGGAGGAGCAGCCTGCCTGGCACGGGGGCAGGGAGGGGGGAGTGCTGACTGTGTGGGTCTCATTTTTCTGGCTGGAGGAAACTCTGTCCCTTTGTCCCCAGATCCCAGGGGATGTCTTTCTGGGGCTGGGGAGTGGCAGGGAGACCCCTGTCCAGAACAGCCCGGGTTGGGGTGAGAGCACCAGATAGTGGGTCCCTGGCCTGGGCCTTGGACAAAGGGGCCATTGTTGGGGTGGAGGCAGGGCTGCCTTGGCCCAGCCACTATTGACAAAGCTGCCAGCTGTGGTGGAGCCCGGGGCCAGCATGAATGGGGCTGAGCCTTGACTGTCTCCCTCCCACTCAGGACAATGCCCTCCACAGCCGCCTTGTGCCCGTCACCACTGCCCTGGGGCAGCTGAACTGAGGAGATGTGCCTCCCTCCGTGCCACGCCGCCCAGGAGACCCCTCTGCTGCTCCCCTTCGTGGTGGTAAGTGCCTGGGTCCCTTGTCCCCAGAGACGTCCCTGGAGGGACAGGGAAGGTAAAACAGCACATGGGAGCCTGGGCATGGGGCTCCAAGGTGCTGCAGCTCCCGGCTGCGGTCCCTCTACTCCTCACCCCCACTCCCCAGACGCTGCTGCCGATATCCCAGTCTAGAGGAAATGCCCCGTCCCAGAGCTAGGCCCAACCTTCCTGTCTGTGTTCCTGCGATAAGGGGCTCGCTTGGGGCCTTCCTCGGAGCTCTGCCCCCGCCCGCTGGGGCCCAGGCATACGTCTCTGCTGGCAGGCTGCTGGCAGGCTGCAGGGCGCTGAGTGACAGTGGACCTGCTTCTGGGGGACATGTGCCCACCTGCCCAGCTATGCGGGACCCTAGCTCAACTTAGGACCTGGCTTCTGTCCCCTTCGATGTGGCTCTGTGCCCAGGGTCAGGAGGAGGGAGGGGTGAGGGACTGCCAAGGCCCCGGGGCTCTGCCTGGTGTGGTGTCTCTCTTTGTGTGGCTCTCTTGCCTGGTCACCTAGGCAGCCAGCTGGGGCCCGAGGCTGTTGGGTGGGGGCTGCTGCTAACTGCTCCTGGCTGGGAGGTGGGGTGGGGAGATGCAGCCCCGGGCCCCCATCAGGCCCATGAGAGCTTCCTCCAGTCTGGGCTCCAAAGGGCTCCAAATGGGTGCAGAGGGGCGCCCATGCCCCGCTCCCCACTAGGATTTTCTTTCAAGGTCCCCCACCCCCCTGCCAGTCAAGCTCTCTTTCTGGCTGTCTTCTTCTTACTCCCGCCTCTTTTCTCTCTCACCCCCCTCCACATCAACACTCCCCATGGGGCAGGGGGCAGGCCTCCCCCCAGCCCTGCACCCTGTGTTGTCTCTTGGTGCCCCGCCCCAGCCTCCCCCAGTCCCCACTCTGGCTGGCTCCCAGCTCTCCCCCAACCCCTGCTCTGGCCGGAGTACCCCCTGGCCCCAACTTAGTCTGGGGCCCTCCCAGCCCTCTGCGATCTGACCCTCTTCTGCTCTGCCCTGGTTCTGGCCACCCGCTCCTTGCCATCTTTGAGGCAGGCCGTGGCAGTGGCCAGCTATGTCTCGGCCTACAGTTCTCTGGCTGCCTCAGTTCCTCCTTGGCTCTCTCTCTTCTCTCCACCACTCCCTCTCCCTGCTGGCGAGGGTCGCTCTTTGCTGGTGGCCCTGGCTGCCCAGGGCAAGTTTTCTTTCCCTGATGGGGTCTCCTTGCCCTTGCTGCTCCTTGTGCTGCGGGGGTCCCCCTTGGGTGCACGGTGGCCTCCCTCTCTTGCTTCCATGTCATTTCTCTTGTCTAGGTAGTGGGCACAGGGCCCTCCTCAGACGTGGCTCCCACCGACCTTCCTTCTCTCACATCCTGGTCCATGTCCGTGTACTTACCCATGTCCCTGGGCTCCTGCACCTTCCCCTTCGTCTGTGGGCTCCCCACCCCTCTCCTCTCCCCATCACCTGCCTGCCTTTGTGGCCTCGGCCCGCCCCTATCCTGCCCTCCTCTCAGTCCCTCTCTGTCTTTGCTTCTCTCCAGCCTCTGTCTTTCTGTGTCCTTGCTTTCTGCCTTTCTGTGCTTCTCTAGGGACCTTCCCTTTCTATGTCTGTCTTCTCGATTCTTCTCTCCCTCTGGCGCTCTCTCTCCACCCTCTCTGTTCTTGTTCTGCCCGGCGCGGTGGGGTGGCCGTGCTCCTGCCCGCCAGGCCTCCGGCAGCTTGGCTTTCCCCCAGGCCCCCGCCATGGCTCCTGGGCCTCCTTCCGGCGCCCGCCTGCTCGTGCTGCTGCTGCTGCTGCTGCTGTGCCCACCGCACCCCACTCAGGCCCATCGCTTCTCTGCGCCCAACACCACCTTCAACCGCCTGGCGCTGGCACCGGGCCGCGGCACGCTCTACGTGGGTGCCGTGAACCGCCTCTTCCAGCTCAGCCCCGTGCTGCAGCTCGAGGCAGTGGCTGTCACCGGCCCTGTCTTCGACAGTCCCGACTGCGTGCCTTTCCGTGACCCGGCCGAATGCCCGCAGGCCCGGCTCACGGACAACGCCAACCAGCTGCTGCTGGTGAGCAGCAGGGCGCAGGAACTGGTGGCCTGCGGGCAGGTGCGGCAGGGCGTGTGCGAGAAGCGGCGCCTCGGGGACGTGGCCGAGGTGCTGTACCAGGCCGAGGACCCCGGCGACGGGCAGTTCGTGGCCGCCAATGCCCTGGGGGTGGCCACGGTGGGCCTGGTGGTGCCCACACCAGGCCGGGACCTCCTGCTGGTGGCCAGAGGCCTGGCAGGAAAGCTGTCGGGAGGGGTGCCGCCCCTGACCGTGCGCCAGCTGGCCGGGCCGCAGCCCTTCTCCAGCGAGGGCCTGGGCCGCCTCGTGGTGGGCGACTTCTCTGACTACAACAACAGCTACGTGGGCGCCTTCGCCGATGGCCACTCCGCCTACTTCGTCTTCCGCCGCCGCGGGGCCCGGGCGCAGGCCGAGTACCGCTCCTACGTGGCCCGAGTCTGTCTTGGGGATGTCAACCTTTACTCCTATGTGGAGGTACCCCTCGCCTGCCGGGGCCAGGGCCTCGTCCAGGCTGCCTTCCTTGCCCCGGGCACCTTGCTAGGGGCCTTTGCCGCGGGCCCGAGGGGGGCCCAGGCGGCCCTGTGCGCCTTTCCCCTGGCAGAGCTGGACGGGAGCATGGAGCAGGCCCGGCGCCTCTGCTACACAGCCGGTGGCCGGGGCCCCAGCGGCACGGAGGAAGCCACCGTGGAGTACGGAGTCACATCGCGCTGCGTCACCCTGCCCCCTGTGAGTGGCTGGGCCCCAGGCTGCATACCTGCCCTCTCGGCCCTTGTGCACCACTTCCTGGCGGCGGCTCTGGCCTTCTCTCGCTGCCTCGTCTTGCCTGGCCTGCTTCTCCATCCCTGTCCCTCCGGGGACCTGTGACATCTCTCAGCCCAGGACGGGGGCTGCCACATGTGGTCCTGGGGTGTAGGTGGCTGGACGCTCTCCCATAACAGTTGCCCGCCACCTCTTGGTTAGAGGAGGTCAAGGAGGGGCCAGCACAGTCTTCAAGCCTCCTAGCCGCTCTTGGCCTGTTTCTTTTAATCTTTCTCCCTCTCCGCGCTGTGGGCTTGCCCTGTCACGGGGATCAGGGCCTGATCACTCTGCCCCAGGTCCCCAGAGCTCCCTGGCCCTGCCCTTCAGCCTGCCTTGCTCTCTTCTTACTGGCTCCCCGGCCTTCCTCCTCCGACTGTCGCTCTGGGCCCCAGGAAAGTACCTCCTGCCTCTTCTGGGAACTGATCTCCCTTCCCTGCCCGCCCAGGACTCCCCCGAGTCGTACCCCTGTGGCGATGAGCACACCCCCAGCCCCATCGCTGGCCGCCAGCCCCTGGAGGCTGAGCCTCTGCTGCAGCTCGGGCAGCCCGTCAGCGCCGTCACAGCCCTCCAGGCGGATGGGCATACGATAGCCTTCCTGGGGGACACCCAAGGCCAGCTGCATAAGGTGAGGGCCTGACAAAGAAGGGGCTACCCTACCACCGGCCCCCTGGCCCCACAGCCACTACACTGCGAGGCCTGATTGGGTGTGCCCCAGCCCTGCTCAGGGAAGCCCCAGGTGCCTTCTGCCTCTCGGCCTGTGTCCTGCTGGCAGGTCAGAAGGCCATGCCACACACTGATAGCTGGCTGGGTGCCCCTTCCTGGTCTGACTCCCAGATGCATGGCTTAGGATGACTGCCCAAGAGCCTCCTGAGCAGCCCCAACTTCTCCAGCCGATAGAGCCCGACAGTCAAGGTGGGGGTGGGGCGGGCAGTACCTGGTCCTCAGAGCCAGCCTGGCCCCAGAAGTCTCTCCGGGGCAAACTCCTTCCTCCACACTTCCTGCCTCCCTGGTCTGGAAGGCAGGGGAGCTGGCTCTGGGAGATAGGGTATTCCCTGGAAGCCCCAGCCAAGAAGAGAGCATGTGCCTGCACTGTCAGCCTGTGGCTGTCTTGAGAGCCCAGCTCTGTCCTTGTCATCCCCCCAGGTCTTTCTCAATGGCTCTCAAGGCCAGGTGTACCACTCCCAGCAAGTGGGGCCTCCAGGCTCAGCCATCAGCCCGGACCTGCTGGTGGACAGCAGCGGCAGCCACCTCTATGTCCTCACCGCCCAGCAGGTGAGGACTGTCCCAGGGAGGCCAGGCCCACAAAGCCCGAGTCCTGGCCTCTACCACCTCTCTCCTGTGCTCCCTGTCCAGGTGGACCGGGTATCAGTGGCAGCCTGCCCCCAGTTCCCTGACTGCACCAGCTGCCTCCAAGCCCGGGACCCGCTGTGCGGCTGGTGCACCCTCCAGGGCAGGTGAGCGCAGGACCCCAAAGCAGCTCCAGGCATGCCAGGAGGCCAGCTTGGCTCCCTGAGGTGGAGACGTGGGCCATTGCTGAGTGCCCCCATCCTGCCCCAGCCTGCCAAACCAGGAATCTGGTCGGCACCCCTTTCCCAATACTTCTCATTCCCCCAACCCTACCCTGGGCCAGGCCTCTGTCACTTCTCCCAGCTGTCCCCTGGCCTGCTCCAGCTCCCCTCCAGGCAAGGCTCCACATGGCAGCCCCAGGAATCCCTTATGGCAACCCTAAGTCAGATCCGCAGCAGCAGCGCCACACTCGGTCACAGTCAAGACCAAAGCCCGTGCATTTGCGGCGAAGCCCTGTGTGCTTGGCCCCTTCCTGCTGATTGCACTCCAGCTGGGTCATCCTCCCAATCAACCCCCTTGCTGCCAGTCACCCTGGGGAGCCTGAGACCCATGTGCTGACCTGATGGGCCCCTGCCCCGCAGGTGTACCCGCAAGGGCCAATGCGGGCGGGCATCCCAGCCAAACCAGTGGCTGTGGAGCTATGAGGAGGACAGCCACTGCCTGCACGTCCAGAGCCTGCTGCCGGCCCACCACCCCCGCCAAGAGCAGGGCCAGGTGAGGTGCCTGCCACGGCCTGGCTGTGGGGCTGCCCCCATCCTCCTCTCGCAATGCCTCTGCTCCCACCCCATCTGCCCTGGCTCCACCTCCCTTGGAGAGGTGGGCCCCCTGAGAAGCCCCTGCCTACTCCGTTTTCCTCGCCCATCTCCCAGGTCACCTTGTCTGTCCCCCGGCTGCCCACCCTGACCATGGATGAATACTTCCATTGTGCCTTTGGGGACTATGATAGCTTGGCTCATGTGGAAGGGCCCCACGTGGCCTGTGTCACCCCTCCCCAAGACCAGCTGCCGCTTAACCCTCCAGGCACAGGTAAGGGACCCCTGAGGTCGGGGGCTGGGGCAGGAACTGGAGAAGCAGGAGCTACATGACCTTCCTTGCCACCACCATCCCCTCCCAGACCATGTCACCTTGCCCCTGGCCCTGATGTTTGAGGATGTGGCCGTAGCTGTCACCAACTTCTCCTTCTACGACTGCAGTGCCGTGCAGGCCTTGGAGGTGGCTGCCCCGTGAGTGCCAGGCCTGGCTGCTGGGTAGGGGTGGTGACACCAGATGGTGCCCAGCCTGAGCAGCCCCCTGCCCCTCTAGGTGTCGTGCTTGTGTGAGCAGCCTCTGGCGGTGCCACTGGTGCCCCCAGAGCAGCCGCTGTGTGCACGGGGAGCACTGCCCGGAGGGTGAGAGGACCATCTACAGTGCCCAGGAGGTGGGTGGGCTCCCTCCACTGCTGGGCCCCCCACTGCTCGCCCAGCAGCCAGTCCAGCACCTTCACTGCCACTGCAGACCTGGCCCCCCGTATGTCCTGCCCAGGCCCCTCAACTTCTGAAGGGCTAAGGGGTCTCCTTTCCCCAGGTGGACGTCCAGGTGCGTGGCCCAGGGGCTTGTCCCTGGGTCGAAGGCCTAGCAGGTCCCCTCCTGGTGCCTGTGGGTTGGGAGAGCCGTTTGGCCCTGCGTGTGTGGAACCTTCAACACTTCCGAGTGAGCAGTCCGGTGGGCAGAGGACGGGGTTAGCAGAAGGGTGGCTGACAGTGTCCAGGATCCTGACAGTGTCCACCCCCAGGGCCTGCCTGCCTCCTACCACTGCTGGCTGGAACTACCAGGAGAACTGCAGAGGCTGCCAGCCTCCCTGGAAGAGATGCCTGGAGATGCGGGCCTCATCTACTGCCAGGCCCAGCAGGTGGGCCACCGCTCCACGGCCTCACCTGCCACTGGATGCCTTCTGCAGCCCTCAGATGCCCCCCACATGCCCCTTGCCTCCCAGCTTGTCCCAGGCACTCAGGGGCTCACCCTCCTCATCCTGTTGTCACCCACGAGGCCTCTGTGCAGGCCCTGAGCTTGCAGTCTGGTGGGAGATGTGGGCAACGAACAAGGACGCCCATTCTGGGAGGAGTGGCCTGACCCCCCGCCCCCCCCACCCACAGTTTCACCCCTCCATGGCCCAGCGGGAGCTCCCGGTGCCCATCTATGTCACCCGGGGTGAAGGCCAGCGGCTGGACAATGCCCGCACTCTTCATGGTGAGGCGGGGGGCCGGAGGGCAGGCGGGGCAGGGTGCACGGCAGAGGGGAGGGGCCTCAGTGTGCTGCCTGACCTTCTCTAGTGACCCTGTATGACTGCGCTGTGGGCCACCCCGACTGTAGCCACTGCCAGGCAGCCAACGGAAGCCTGGGCTGCTTATGGTGCAGCCATGGCCAGCCCACCTGTCGCTACGGGCCACTGTGCCCACCTGAGGCTGTGGAGCTGCTGTGTCCCACGCCCAGCATTGACATGGTGAGCCCCCAGCACCCATGCCAGTCTCTGCCCCCTCCCCCTCCCCCATGTACCAGCCTCACCCTAGCAGCTCTGTCCCACCTCAGGCTGGTTGGCTGGCTGGATACCCCTGCTGCAGAGTGGGTGTGGGTTTGGGGGAATCTCATCGCCATCCTTCCCTGCCACAGATTGAGCCCCTGACTGGCCCCCCTGAGGGTGGCTTGGCCCTCACCATCCTGGGCTCCAACCTGGGCCGGGACTTTGCCGATGTACGGGATGCCGTGAGCGTGGCTGGCCGGCCCTGCAGCCCCAACCCCTCTCTCTACCGCACCTCTGCCCGGTGAGGCATCCTGGAGGCTGGGGTGGAGGGCCCACCTCCTAGGGAGGCCCTTAGAGACTGGCCACCCAGAGAGAAGGGAGGCTTGCAGCCAAGAAATGTGGGCTCTTGGGGCCAGCCCGGTGGCACAGCGGTTAAGTGCACACGTTCCGCTTCAACGGCCCGGGGTTCGTCAGTTTGGATCCCGGGTGTGGACATGGCACCGCTTGGCACGCCATGCTGTGGTAGGCGTCCCACATATAAAGTAGAGGAGATGGGCACGGATGTTAGCTCAGGGCCAGTCTTCCTCAGCAAAAAGAGGAGGATTGGCAGCAGATGTCAGCTCAGGGCTAATCTTCCTCAAAAAAAAAAAAATGTAGGTCCGGGTCAGATGTGCCAAAGGAAGATGAGCCAGGGGAGGGGAGAGGAGGGGAGCTGGCAGGGACGGGGGTAGAGGGGGTGGGCTCTGGGCAGTGACTTGCAGGGGACCCATAGCTGGACATCAGGGAAGGGCCCAGCCCACAGGAGCCCTAAGCAGCTACTGAGCCTTCACTCCACAGGATTGTGTGTGTGACATCTCCCGCCCCCGACGGCACTGTGGGGCCAATCCAAGTGGCCATTAAGAGTCGGCCACCAGGCATCTCAACCCAGCACTTCACCTACCAGGTCAGTGCCCACCCTGTGGTGGTCCCCAGGAAGTGGTTAGTATGAGGGAGGGACGGGAGGGCAGGAACACCTAGATGATTTCGAACTTGACCTAAGGGTAGCAGGAAGTCCGCATGTCCAGGAGGAAAGCCACAAGATCCGAGCCATCCCTCATGCCCCAAGGGGAGGGCAGGCTGGGGCGGCAGCAGGACAGGGAGGACACTGTTGCTGGCAGCTGTCCAGGAGGGTGGCGGGCAGTGGAAGCAGCAGGTGTGGTGGGCGGGCCAGTCTGGGATGTGGAGCTGTTGGGGCTTGCTGCAGGCCACGCTTAGCAGGCACCGGGATGTGGCAGAGGCACCAGCCTGAGCCCTCGGTCCCTGCCAGGGTCATTTTTGGGGCCAGGAGGCTGAGGGCCGGAGCAGTGAGGGGCAGGGGCAGGTTAGCATCAGGAGTTCTGCTTGGCACATGCAGCACCCCAAGGAGGTAATTGGATCTCGAGGTTTGGAGCTTGCGGGGCCTGGGAGGTGCAAACCATGGCAGGGGAGGAAGCCATCCTGAGGGGCAGAGACACGGTGAGGAGAGAAGACCCCGTCCCTAGTGGGGCAGGGCAGCTGGAAGGAGAGCTGAGGGGCTGCAGAATCCAGGCACAGGGCTTCCGGAAGGAGGGTGTAGTCAGCTGTGGCCCAGGAGACAAAGCCGAGAAGTGGGCCTGCATCTTGCAGCCCAAGGGCCTTGGGGACTGGAGCCGAGGTGAGGAAACGCCAGGCCAGGCTGTCATGCCTGCCCCAGTCTGCCCTGTCTTCCAGGACCCTGTCCTGCTGAGCCTGAATCCCCAGTGGGGCCCCCAGGCTGGGGGCACCCAGCTCACCATCCACGGACAGCACCTCCAGACAGGAGGCAATGTCAGCGCCTTTGTGGGAGGCCAGCCCTGTCCTATGTGAGTATCTCTCTCCTCCTGGTCCCTCCCTACAGGCCTCAGTGTCCCCTTGTGTACAGCAGGAGCGGTGGACTCAGGGCTATCTAAGGCCCCCATCAAAGGCCAAGAGAAATGGCCACCGCACCCACCCCTGGTAGTCTCTGCCCTTGTTGAGGGAGGCAAAATGGGCCTCTTGTGGGGTGGCTGGACCCGGGCTAGAGCCCAAGATGCCAGAACTCTCCCCCCTCTGCAGCCAGGAGCCAGTTTGTCCTGAGGCCATTGTGTGCCACACTGCGCCCCAGGCCAGCCCAGGAGAAGCTGTGGTACGCGTGGTCTTCGGCCATGCCCAGCGCACGCTGCTCACCAGCCCCTTCCGCTACACTGCCAACCCCCAGCTCTTGGGGGCAGAGCCCAGCGTCAGCTTCCGGGGGTGAGGAGCCAGTCCCCCCAGGGCAGCCTGTGCACTCTGCTGGGGAGGTGGGGCTGGACTGGGCCGCCTGCCGCCCCCAACCCTGCTGACTACTCTCCTGGCCCAGGGGCGGGCGGCTCATCCGAGTAAGGGGCACAGGCCTGAACGTGGTGCAGCAGCCCCTGCTGTCCGTGTGGCTGGAGACCGTGGCGGAGGTGCAGGCTGCAGGGGCCCAGCCCTGGGACCTGACACCAAGGAGGAGCTGCGGGGCCTCTGCTGCAGCCCCCCAGGCTTGTATCCAGCTCGAGGGGGGCTTGCTGCAGGTGAGCCCCCCACCAGCAGGCGGCAGGGCTGCCCCTGAGACATGCCCAGTGAGGGGGACGGGGCGGACTGCTGTGTCCCTGGGATCACGGAGGGGAGCCCCAGCTCACCCAGCTCGCCCCGGCCTTGGCTGCCTTGCAGTGCTCCACCGTCTGCTCCGCCAACTCGTCCAGTCTCCTTCTGTGCTGGAGCCCCGCCGTGCCGGATGGGGCACACCCCCGGCGGGTCTTCTTCACCCTAGACAATGTGCATGTGGACTTCGCCAGCGCCAACGGGGGCCAGGACTTTGTGTACCAGCCCAACCCCCGCCTGGCCCCCCTCAGTCGCGAGGGGCCCACCCGCCCCTACCGCCTCAAGCCGGGCAATGTCCTGGACGTGGAGGTGAGGGCTTTAGCCGGCCGGCTCTGTGCAGGGGCTGCAGGCACGGGCTGGGACTTGGCTAAGGCCCTGGTCTATCTCCCAGGGTGAGGGCCTCAACCTGGGGATCAGCAAGGAAGAGGTGCGCGTGTACATCGGCGACAGCGAGTGCCTGGTGAAGACGCTCACACTCACCCACCTGTACTGCGAGCCACCACCGCGGGCCCCACAGCCTGCCAACAGCTCCAGCACCCTGCCACAGTTCGTGGTAAGGCTGTGCCCTGGGTGGGTGTGTGGGCTGACAGGCCGAGCACTGAGGGCCACGCTCAGGAGCCCTGCCCTCTCAGGTGCAGATGGGCAACGTGCGGCTGGCCCTGGGCCCTGTCCGGTACGAGGCCGAGCCTGCACTGTCTGCCTTCCCCGTGGAGGCTCAGGTGGGCCTTGGCGTGGGCGCTGCCGTGCTGACCGCCGCTGTGCTCCTCCTCACCCTCATGTACAGGTGAGGGGCCCTCCCCCGACACCTACCTGCGCAAAGTTCCCTCTCCGCTTTTGGAAAGGGCGCCCCATGGCAGGCCTCGGACCAGGGAGCCATCCTGGCTTGATGGCCTCAGCCCAGGCAGGCCTGGGCCTGTTGCTAACACCTGGTCCCCGGGCTGCAGGCACAAGAGCAAGCAGGCTCTGCGGGACTACCAGAAGGTTCTGGTGCAGCTGGAGAACCTGGAGATTGGCGTGGGTGACCAGTGCCGCAAGGAGTTCACAGGTGGGGAGAGGGTGATAGGGAGGGGGGCAGAGGGCCCACCCGGGCCTGAGCCCACGCTTCAGTGGTTCCCGGCCTGCAGACCTGATGACCGAGATGACCGACCTCAGCAGCGACCTGGAGGCCAGCGGGATCCCCTTCCTGGACTACCGCACATATGCCGAGCGTGTCTTCTTTCCTGGGCATGGCGGCTGCCCACTGCAGCCCATGCTTGAGGGGCCCGGGGAAGAGAGCCACCGTGCCCCCATGCGCCAGGGCCTCACACAGCTCTCCAACCTGCTCAACAGCAAGCTCTTCCTCCTCACAGTGAGGGCCACACGGGTGGTCAGGGTGCCCTAGAGGGCAAGGAGGTGGGGCTGGACACCGGCTGGGCCAAAGGGGGGAGGACACGTGGGGAGTGGGGCTTCCTGGAGTAAGTGCCAGCCCCCCCGCCTAGCTCATCCACACCCTGGAGGAGCAGCCCAGCTTCTCTCAGCGGGACCGCTGCCACGTGGCTTCACTGCTGTCCCTGGCGCTGCACAGTAAGCTTGAGTACCTGACCGACATCATGAGGACGCTGCTCGGCGACCTGGCCACCCATTACGTGCACAAGAACCCAAAGCTCATGCTGCGCAGGTTGGCCTTGGCCTGACTGCGGTCCTGGCAGCAGGGGTGGTGGCTCTCCGCTGAGCTGACCCCCCAACCCTGTCCCAGGGTGGGCAGGCCAGGAACCCCCAGGAGGTGGGCTAGGACAGAAGCCACAGTTGGGAAGTAGACAGGCATCCTCACCGGGGACCCGGGCACAGAGGGCTCACAGGCAGAAGAGCTCTGCCTTCCCTCCGCTGCCCACTCAGCCCAGGGACAGCGTGGCCCTGCAGCACCCAGGTTCTGACCTAGGCCTGCTCCCTACAGGACGGAGACCATGGTGGAGAAGCTGCTCACCAACTGGCTGTCCATCTGTCTCTACGCCTTCCTGAGGGTGAGGGGCGCCCTCTGTGGCACCTGCTCCCCTCGCTCCTTTTGGGGGCTGCTGCCTGTGGCCTCGCAAACCTGTGCCCAAATTCCCCCAGGGGCCTTGGGGCATGAGGGCATGGTGCAGGGGCTGGATGTGAGGCAGAGGCTACTGCCATTGTCCGCCATCACTCTGTGCAGCCGGCCACCCCTCCCTGCCCCCATGGCACCCTCTGAGTCTTGCACAGCCTGCCGATCTCCTGGTTGACGCTGGCCCATCCTGATGGTTGCAGGAGGTGGCTGGTGAGCCGCTGTACATGCTCCTCCGGGCTATTCAGTACCAGGTGGACAAGGGGCCTGTGGATGCCGTGACAGGCAAAGCGAAACGGACCCTGAACAACAGCCGCCTGCTGCGGGAGGACGTGGAGTTCCGGCCCCTGACGCTGATGGTGCTGGTGGGCCCCGGGGCCAGTGGGGCCCCAGGGGGCAGCACGGCACAGCGCGTGCCAGCCCGAGTCCTCGACACAGACACCATCACCCAGGTCAAGGAGAAGGTGTTGGACCAAGTCTACAAAGGCACCCCGTTCTCCCAGAGGCCCTCAGTGCATGCCCTAGATCTTGGTGAGAGAGCCCACCCACCCTCCCCGCCCGGGCCTGTTCCCACCTATCTAGGCTCAGCTCTGCCTTGCTCCAAATGGCGGACCTGGGGAACAGACTCTGGGCTGACTGGTTTCCCTGGGTCCCCCCAGAGTGGCGGTCAGGCCTGGCTGGTCACCTAACCCTGTCAGACGAGGACCTGACCTCGGTGACCCAGAACCACTGGAAGAGACTCAACACCTTGCAGCACTACAAGGTGCCGGGCGGGCAGGGGCTGGGGGCAGGCCCCACCTCTGATCAGTCAGGCAAGGACCCCAGCCTCTCTTCCCCTCCCCGCTAGGTCCCAGACGGAGCCACAGTGGGGCTCATCCCCCAGTTGCACAATGGAGGCGCCGTCTCCCAGAGCTTGGCCCAGAGCTGCCCCTCGCGGGAGAGTGAGTCCCGCAGCCCAGACGCACTCATCTGTCCCTGGGAGCTTGAGGCGAGCAGGCAGGAGTGCTGGGCATGCCATCTGCCTTGCCTGGTTCTCCCCCACACCTCGCCAGCGGGCAAGCCAAAGCTCCAGGCTGAGCCAAAGGCCTGGGGTGGATGAGGGCAGCAGCATGTCCTGGTCAGGGAGCTCCGGGGCAATGGGGTGTTGGGCTGAGCAAGTCCCTGGGCTGCCATCCTCCTCTCTGCATCTCTCCTCCCCTACTTTCCTTGGCTCCCCCCACCCTGGTCCACCCCACCAGATGAGTGGGCTGGGCATCCCAGGCCAGTGGCGTGGGGTGGGGGACAGAGGCATAGGACTGAGGTGAGCTTCTGTGCCTTCAGACATCCCAATGGCAGAGGACGGTGAGGAGGGTGGGGTCCGCCTCTGGCACCTGGTGAAAGCCACCGAGGAGCCAGAAGGGGCCAAGGTGCGGCGCGGCAGCCTGCGGGAGCGGGAACGGGAGCGGGCGCGGGCCAAGGCCATTCCAGAAATCTACCTCACCCGCCTGCTCTCCATGAAGGTCAGTGTGGCCGGGGAGCTGGGCCCTAGGGGAGCCAGGTGGCGGGGAAGGCTTATCAAGGGGGCCCCGACTGAGCTGGGGAGAGGGCATGGCCCTAAGACGCAGCGAGGCAGCCCCATCTGCCGACAGAGTGTGGGGTTGGCCATGGCCTCGAGGGCCCCACACCCTGCCCCCCACACAGCCCCCCTCCCCTACCTTCCAGGGCACACTACAGAAGTTTGTGGATGACACCTTCCAGGCCATCCTCAGCGTGAACCGGCCCGTGCCCATCGCTGTCAAGTACCTGTTTGACTTCCTGGATGAGCTGGCAGAGAAGCACGGCATCGAGGACCCGGAGACCTTGCACATCTGGAAGACTAACAGGTGCCTTGCTTGCTGCCCTTGCCCCCGGGCAGATGGGACATAGAGTCGCAGAGGGACAAGGACATTGCCAGGGTGGGGGTGGCAGGACCAGGACAAGATCCCAGGCTTCGCGGCATCCACCCTGGATTTCTGGCCGCCCCCAGCATGGACTCACAGGACAGCTCCCCGTGGAACTCAGGGCTGGGGCCCAGGCTGATGCCGTGATGCCTTACGCCCATGGTCGGCCTGTGTCCTCAGCCTGCTGTTGCGGTTCTGGGTGAATACCCTGAAGAACCCACAGCTCATATTTGACGTGCGGGTGTCGGACAACGTGGATGCCATCCTCGCCGTCATCGCCCAGACCTTCATTGACTCTTGCACTGTCTCAGAGCATAAAGTGGGCCGGGTGAGGGCAGAGCCGGCCAGCCGGCCAGCAGCAGCCAGGGGATTGAGGAGGAAAGGCTGCTGGGAGGAAGCCATGGGGGCTCGGTGCAGGGTCCTGGGTGGGGCTGAGGGATGGCATATAACGAGGTTCAGGAGGCCAGGGGGAGGGGGCCCTGGTGGCACAGTCAGGGTGACAGGGCTGGAGCTCCACTGCCTCCTCGCTGACACCCACCACCCCCGGAGCAGGATTCCCCGGTGAACAAACTGCTCTACGCCCGGGAGATCCCCCGCTACAAGCAGATGGTGGAGAGGTAGGTATCGGGGCGTCATGGCCGGGGGTGGCAGCTGCCCGCCCTAACTCTGTCTCCCTCTCCAGATACTACTCCGACATTCGCCAGAGCTCTCCGGCAAGCTACCAGGAGATGAACTCAGCTCTGGCTGAGCTCTCTGGGGTAAGGCACAGCCCAGGGGACACACCCCTCCACAGCTAGGGGGGCAGAGTGGGGGAGGGAGGCCTGGGGCTTGAGGCCCAGGCTGGGGCCCCACCTCCCCGTGTGCTGCCCCCAGAACTACGCCTCTGCTCCGCACTGCCTGGAAGCTCTGAGAGAGCTCTACAAACACATCCACAGGTATTACGACCAGGTGAGGCCCAGGGCACTACAGGGGGGAGGGGCAGACCCCGAGAGCCCAGAGGGAGGCCCCAGGAAGCTCCCTGGGGGCAGGAGGGAAGGGGCTTGGCTTCTTTGCACAGTCCTCACGGAGGCCCGGGGCAGCCCCCCCTGGATCCCCAGGCCAATGCTGAGATGGAGGAAGAGCTGGGCGACCCTGGGCCAGTGAGCACAGGGCTAGGGCCTCAGGCAGGGTGCCTTCCTCCACCCTGGCAGATCATCAGCGCCCTGGAGGGAGACCCTGTAGGCCAGAAGACGCAGCTGGCCTGCCGCCTGCAGCAGATCGCCGCCCTGGTGGAGAACAAGGTGACCGACCTGTGAGCTCAGGCCACAACAGGTGCCTGAGGGCCAGCTGGGAGAGCAGCAAGCAGGACCCACCACCGCAGTGCCTTATGATCCCTGGATCGCGCCAGCGCTGAGGAGGGGCCAGCGGGGGCGGGGGAGGGGGGCCAAGGGGCACAGCCAGGTGCTGTGCCCGCCAGGGGGCTCCCTGCTGCCTCTACCCCCGCCCCCCCGCCCTTCCTTCCCCCACCTGGGCTTCTTTCTAATTTATAGCCATCCTGACCTCTTCCCCCTCCCCCACTGTATTTATTTGCTTGCTGGAGAATCACATCTGGAAATAAAATAGAAATCCGCCTTTTCAGAAAAAGCCCCCACCTTCCCCTGCGAGTCTACTTGGTGCTCCCTTGCACGACCTTCCCCTCGGCCCCATGGCTGTGGCTTCTGTTGCCTGAGGAAAAGAGGGGTCAGCAGGCACCCCTAGGCCGCCTTGCTCTCCTCCCTCCCCTCGCCTCCCCTGGCCCCAGCCCTCCCACGCCCATCTATGCCCACCACACCTTACCAGTTCTGTCCTGGCACAGGACACAGGGCCCAAGTGTCTCCTATCTTGGACTAACCAAAGTCACTGCCCAGCAGCCCCCAGCTGGCCTCCTGGCTCCACTCGTGGCCCCTCTATTCCCTCCTGGGAGCAGTCGAAGTGATCCTTCTAAAGAGCAAAAGCCCCCGGCAGCTTCTGCTAGAACCCCACACCAGAGCCCACAGGCTCCGGGTGGGCCCCTTGGCTGCCCGAGGCCTCCCCTCCGTCTCCCACAAAGTCTCCAGCCCACCCTGCTGCCGCTTACCCACCCACTCCCTTTCTGGGGACCCAATTCTTCCCGGTCTTTTGGGTGCAGCCCCAAGGTCACAGGCTCTGGAGGGCTCTCCCTGACCTGGACGTCCCTCTGTCACAGCTCACTCGAGCTGTGGGCTTGTTTGCTCCCCACTAAAAGAGGACTACTGAGGGCACATGTTGGTGGAGACAGCGAGCAAGGCAGGCCCGGGGCAGAGAGGGAGTGGTGAGGGAGAGCTCACAGACTCACCGTGGGAGCCCCGGGCGGGCAGGTTCCCAGGCTTCCACTTGGGCCTGGCACCTCTGATAGGAGGAACAAGTTGCCTGGAGCTCATGCCCCTGACCCTTGCCTGGTCAGAGCCCCCAGTGACACCACATTCAGGGAGAAGAGGGCACCAGGATCCCGCCCATCTTAGGGGTCAATGAGACTCAGGAAAAGTGGGAACCCGAGAGTGGGCAGGGAATGGGGTACCCATGAGAATGAGAGGAGTCGCCTCTGGGAAGGCTCCCACAAGGGCCAAGTGGGAAGCCAATGTTCCAAAAGTGTCACTTGGTGCTCCACGGCACATGGGGGGGTGGGGTGCTGCTCAGCCTGAGTACTGGGTTGTCATGTCCACCACATCCTTGCGTGGCTGTCCCCCTTGGCAAGCTCTGGGGTTTGGGGACTCAGCCTGGGGACCAGGTCACTGCCACATCTGCACTCAGTGGCCCCCTCTGCCAGTCCTGGGGCACAGGAGTGCAGCCTGGGGATCGGGTCGCCACGTCCCCACGTGAGTGTCCTCCTTGGTCCTAGGGGGTGAGGGGGCGGAGCTCAGCATGGTGGCTGGGTCGTGTCGTGTCCCAGCGGTAGCCCCCTCTGCCAGCCTTGGGGGGAGGGCGGGGGGCTCATCCTGGGGGCCGGGCTCTCCAGGGCCGCCATTGCCACACCGCCCCCTCCCCGCTGCATACCTTGCCCACAGCTGAGCAGCTGGGAGGCTATTTATAAAGGCGGGTGAGATCAGCGGCCGAGACTATAAATGCGCGGGCCGCGGCCAGGCCCCACAGGAGCAGCCGCCCGGGGCGCCAGAGCTGCGGGCCGCGCAGCCGGGATGAGCGCCAGCGCGGGCGGCGGCGGGGACAGCGGCAGCAGCAGCAGGTAGGGCTCGGCCTGGGCGCCAGGGGCCCCTGGCGCCTCGCGAGCTCATTGCCCGCCCACCCCACCCGCAGCTCGCAGGCCTCCTGCGGGCCCGAGTCCTCGGGCTCCGAACTAGCCCCCGCCACACCAGCACCACGGATGCTGCAGGGGCTGCTGGGCTCCGATGACGAGGAGCAGGAGGACCCCAAGGACTACTGCAAGGGTGAGGCCTGGCCTCAGGCGCAGGCGGCCAGGCAGCCACCACAGGGGCACGGGACAGCCAGGGCGGAGGAGGGTGCCGGAGCCAGCCCACGCAGGCCAGGGAGCCAGCAGGGGCGGGCTGTCCAGGGGGCATAGGGGAAGGTAACGCCCCCCATCATGCTCTATTGGCTTCCTTCCCCAGGCGGCTACTACCCCGTGAAGATTGGCGACCTGTTCAATGGGCGGTACCACGTGGTGCGCAAGCTGGGCTGGGGCCACTTCTCCACCGTCTGGCTCTGCTGGGACATCCAGTGAGTGCCCTCTCCACCCCCGGGGTCCCAGTGCCAGCTAGGATCCTGCCCCTGGACTTGGCTGGGGCCACCACCATGCCCCCATTGGTCTAGCTGGGACCAGCAGCCGACGCTGGTCTCGGTGTTGCAGGCGCAAGCGCTTCGTGGCCCTGAAAGTGGTGAAGAGCGCAGGGCATTACACAGAGACAGCTGTGGATGAGATCAAGCTCCTGAAATGTGTGAGGCGCCTCCCCTACCCGCTCCCAGCTCCCCGGTAGCTGCCCAGGGCCTGGCCATGTGGGTGCAAGGCCTGCCTGCCGGGGCTCCTGGGGCGGGGCTCCCAGAGGGGCCAGCTCCAACTGGCTCTGCCCCAGTGGGAGGAGGAGCAGGCAAGGGTGGGGCTGGCGGTCTTTCTTCCAGGGGGCCCCAGCTGGACAGGGAGAGAGGGGCCAGAGGGGCCAGAGGGACCGCTGAGGGGCGCAATTTGTGAGGAGCAGGTTGAAGCCATCTGTGGCCCCTTGGCTTTTGCTCCAGGTCCGAGACAGCGACCCCAGCGACCCCAAAAGAGAGACCATTGTCCAGCTTATCGATGACTTCAGGATCTCAGGAGTTAATGGAGTCCGTATCCTTTGTAGCCTGGGCAAAGCCATGTGGCAGCGTAGGGGGCCCTCCCCTCGTGCCTTCCCAGCTACTAGGACCTCAGTTTGCTTATCTGCACAATGGGGTTTATCCTTTCCAGTGACACTAGTCTACGAAACACCCCCACCACTTTGGGGGCGTGTTTATGTGGCGGGGGGAGTGGATAATCATGTTGGCACTGGCTATCTGTGGCGTTGCTGAGTTACCCTCAAACCGCAGGTGCCGCCTCTGTGGCAGTGCCTTCCCTCGATGGGGCTGCCCAGAGGCTCTCTGGCATAGCTGGGCACAGGAGTGGGGCTGACCTGAGAGGCCTCCGGGTATGCTCCGCCAGTGCCCTCTCCCTAGGATGAGCACAGAATGTACCATCCCAACTGGCATACCTGAGAGTGATAGGGCCACTATAACGACACCAGGACAGTGGTGACCACCAGGACCACCCAGGCCCAGCTCTGCACTGCCCAAGCCTCACTGCTCCCCCACCACAGCTTAGGGTGGGTGGGGCCTGCGCCCCAGCTGTTTCCGCTGGCTGCCCTTCACTCCCGGCCCCAGATGTATGCATGGTGCTGGAGGTCCTGGGCCACCAGCTCCTCAAGTGGATCATCAAGTCTAACTACCAGGGCCTGCCCGTGCCCTGCGTGAAGAGCATTGTGAGGCAGGTGAGCATTCCAGGCCCTGTGCGAAGAGCACTGTGAGGCAGCCTGGCCAAGACTGGTGGAGCTCAGGAGTGGCTCTCCCCAGGTGCTGCACGGCCTGGACTACCTCCACACCAAATGCAAGATCATCCACACGGACATCAAACCTGAGAACATCCTGCTGTGTGTGGGGGACGCCTACATCAGGCGCCTGGCTGCCGAGGCCACAGAGTGGCAGCAGTCAGGGGCACCGCCCCCGTCCCGCTCCACAGGTACCAGGAGCTTGCGTGGGGCCAGGGTGGGGCCTGCGGGCCTCAGCTCCTGCCTGAGTCTCTGTTCGTCTCTCCCCCTGCGCCTCGCCTGTTCCCTCAGTCAGCACTGCCCCCCAGGAGGTCTTGGTAAGTTGGGATGCCCCTCTTTTCCTGCACCTCATCTCCCCATCTCCTCAGAGCTCACCTCCTCAGCCTCTCTGGTTCCACTCCCTTCCCAGCATTCCTGCAGTGGCACTTACGAAAGGCTGGGTGGCCCGAAAGAGGGTGATACACAGGGTGGGTCACATGCCCCAAGCTGCCCTTGGCGGCCACAGGGCTTACCACTGCCTTAGTGGATGGACACTGCCTCTAGGCCTGGGAGGGGCCAGGGCTGCCCCTAGGGGAGGTGGGCGCCCAGTGGGATGCAGGCCCAGCAGCTCCTTCCCAACCTCGAGCTTTGGGGAGTGGAGGGCAGGAGGGGAGACAGGAGGTAGATGAGGGGCTGCTGCCAAGGGGTGGGGCTAGAGGGGGGTGGTGCCATGGCGCCTGCAGGCCATGGGCAGAGGCTCGGGCTGGTCAGGGGATGGGCAACGGAAACCCTAGGAGTGACCCTGACTCGAATGGCAGACTGGTAAGCTGTCGAAAAACAAGAGGAAGAAAATGAGGCGCAAACGGAAACAGCAGAAGCGGCTGCTGGAAGAGCGGCTGCGGGACCTGCAGAGGCTGGAGGCCATGGAGGCGGCGGCCCAGGCAGAGGGTGAGGAACCAGAAGGGGTGCTGGGCTGCCGAGCACAGAGCACGGCCCACAGGGGCATCTGCTCATGCACCACCTCTGCCCGGCTCCCCAGACTCTGGCTCAAGACTTGAGGGGGGCAGCGGCTCCACGTCTTCTTCTGGCTGCCACCCCGGGGGGGCCAGGGCCGGCCCCTCCCCAGCCTCCTCCTCCCCAGCCCCCGGGGGCGACCGCAGCCTCAGCCCTGGCTCCCAGACCTCAGGCTTCTCGGGCTCGCTTTTCTCCGCTGCCTCGTGCTCCATCCTCTCAGGCTCCTCCAACCAGCGAGAGACCGGGGGCCTCCTGTCACCCAGCAGTAAGTTGGGCCGGGCCAGCAGGTGGTGGGCAGGCAGGGCCAGGAGGGGCCCAGCCAGCTCAGTCTCTCTCCCCTCTCTTCCTTCTCCAGCACCGTTTGGTGCCTCAAACCTCCTGGTGAACCCCCTAGAGCCCCAAAACGCAGACAAGATCAAGATCAAGATTGCAGACCTGGGCAATGCCTGCTGGGTGGTATGAGGGGCCTTAGAGAGCAGAGCTGGGCACCCTGCCATGAGGGGGCCCTGACCTGGGCCTGCGGTGCACACGCTGCTTTGTTCAGCGGGTCACCCCACAATCCACATGACCAAACCCCAGCATTGATCCCAGTCAGCAGAACTGGGCCCATAGCAAGGGGTGGGGACCACTGGGAAGGGGCCAGCCTCACCTCAAATCACCTGGCCACTCCCTCTCGGGACATCTGGGGACCCCGGGGCCCATGTGAGTCTCACGAAGCTCCTTGGGTGCACAGCCCAGAGGAGGAGGGAGATGAGTAGGGGGCCAGTGGGGGCAGGCCAGCTGGGGCCCCAGCTCCTCCCCAGGGCTCCCCTTGCCTCCAGCACAAGCACTTCACCGAGGACATCCAGACGCGGCAGTACCGGGCCGTGGAGGTGCTGATCGGCGCCGAGTACGGGCCCCCGGCTGACATCTGGAGCACAGCATGCATGGTATGCCCAGGGTGCCCCCGCACAGGGCCAGCCCACAGGCCGGCAGCCTCACCTTCTCCCCCTTTCAGGCCTTCGAGTTGGCCACCGGCGACTACCTGTTTGAGCCTCACTCTGGAGAAGACTACAGTCGTGATGAGGGTAGGGCAGGCAGGGCCTGGCTCAGCCTCAGGGCTTCTTGGCCTCCAGGCTGCCTCCCAGCCTCCTCTCTGTCCACAGACCACATCGCCCACATTGTGGAGCTTCTGGGAGACATCCCCCCGGCCTTCGCCCTATCAGGCCGCTACTCTCGGGAGTTCTTCAACCGGCGAGGTAGGGCTGATTGGGCTCAGGCCACGTGGATGTAGGGATGGGGCAGGGCCCTTGGGTGCTGAAACAGGGGGAGCCCTGGGTCTTCGTGGCAGGGCCTAAGCTAAGGCCCACTGGCTGGCCCCCAGGAGAGCTGCGGCACATCCACAACCTCAAGCACTGGGGCCTGTACGAGGTACTCATGGAGAAGTACGAGTGGCCCCTGGAGCAGGCCACGCAGTTCAGCGCCTTCCTGCTACCCATGATGGAGTACATCCCGGAAAAGCGGGCCAGCGCAGCCGACTGCCTCCAGCACCCTTGGCTCAACCCCTAGGCCGCGCTGGCACCTGGGGCAGCTTGGGGCAGGCCTGGCTGCCCCTCCAAGCCCCTTGGCTCCCAGTGCCTTCAGGGAAAGCGGGACGACTCCTGCCACCCCACGGGAGCTGCCCTCTCCCACCGTGCCGGGTGCAAGCTTTGTGACGCCCCCCCCCCCCCCCACCACGGCAGGGCAGACAGATGCTGGGGCCAAGGCCACCTTTCAGAATGTATGCTGCCCCCAATCCTCACAGAGGGCCCTCTAGTGGGAAGTGTGTGTGTTTCTTTTCCTAATAAAGTGTGAAATGGAGACGGCAGCACATGGCCGAGGGCTGGGCAGAAGCTGGTTTATTCTGGGCCTGCCTGCCGAGCCAGCTGGGGTGCTGGGGTGGGAGGGGACAGCCTACGCCTCCACAGCCCGGCCGTTGATAATGCGGATGTGGCGGATGATGTCCTGGATGGCTTCCGACGTCGTGCCCTGGCCCCCGATGTCTGGGGTGTGCATCTGCAGGAGATGGGCAAGTCTGGGCACACACTTGGGCCCCAGCACCCAACCCCTATCCTGCACGCGTTCCAGGGCTGCCCACTGTTTCCGTGGCCTGCAGGGGCTGGAACTGCCCCCAGGAGGGCAGTGGTATTAACTAAGACCCAGAAGCCCTACCCGACCTGGTAACACCCTCCCCTTGGGGTCTGCATCTCCAGCCCCTCAGGCATTACACCAGCTCAGCTGGGGCTGAAGGAGGGGAACGGGGTGGTGGGGGGCAGTGAAGCAGGGCAGGGGAGAGGGGGGGCCTCACGTTTTCATTGTCCATGGATGCCAAGACGGCCTTGCGGATGGAGGTGGCATAGGAGTGGAGCCTAAGGTGAGAAAGCAAGCCTTCAGTCCTCAGGGCCTGGGGGCCTGGGAGGCCCTGGCTGGGAAGGGAGAAGTGCTTACTTGAGGTGGTCGAGCATCATGCAGCTTGCCAGCAGTGTGGCCGTGGGGTTGGCGACATTCTTATTGGCGATGCTCTTGCCTGTGTTCCTCGTAGCCTAGAACAAGCAAGATGGAGGGGGTGGCGAATGTAAGGATGGAGGGTGCATGATTCCATTCACGTGAAGTGTCAGGAACAGGCAAATCCACAGAGGCAGAAGGCAGATGAGTGGGTGCCAGGGGCTCAGGGGAGGGGGATGGGGAGTGGGCTAACAAGTGCAGGGTTTCTTTTGGATGAGGACAATGTCCTGGAATTATAGTGGTGAGGGGTGCACAGCTCTGAATATTCTAAACCCCACCGAGTTGTCCACTTTTAATGGGTGAATTGGATGGTATGTAAGGTCTATTCAAAAAGGCCAGCAGCCCTTGCACCCCCAGCGGCACTCACCGTCTCAAACACGGCATACACGTGGCCATAGTTGGCCCCAGCCACAAGGCCAGGGCCCCCGACCAGCCCTGCACAGACATTGTTGACAATGTTGCCGTAGAGATTGGGCATCACCATGACATCGAACTGCTGGGGCCGGGACACCAGCTGCGGGGTGAGGAAGGGCAGAGAGGAGTTGGAGCACAAGAAGCCCAGGACACCCAGGGTGGGAGGCCACAAAGCCCCACAGCTTAACTACCTGCATAGTGGTGTTGTCCACGATCATATTCTCAAAGGTGATCTGGGGGTAGCCGGCTGCCACCTCCTTGCAACACTGGAGGAAGAGCCCGTCGCCCAGTTTCCTAGGGGTGACACAGGACACCAGCTTGGCCGTTGTAATGGTCAGCCGGAGGGACGGGGTGTACAGACGGCCACAGAAGGCTGCATTCTAATCCTCTAGCCAGTCCCCCGTCAGCAAAACGGGCATAATCCCATTCCACCTCCCTCACGTGTGCACTCTGGCAAGGCTCGGCTGGGAAACAGGTAACAGGGCACACCCCTGGGCATGGCCCCTTGGTGGGTGGCTGGGGTCCAGGGCCCCAAGTCCCTGAGAGCAGGCCCGAGCAGGCTGCCTGATTGAGTGGCTTGCGGAATGAGCAAGAGCATGGCAGGGGCGAGGAGCATACATGATGTTGGCCTTGTGCACGGCTGTCACTTTCTTGCGCCCACACTCCTGGGCCAATTTGAAGGCGTATTCAGCAATGCGCAGGGACTTGGCCTTGGTGATGATCTTCAGGCTCTCCACCACGCCTGCCACGCTCTGACAAGGGGACAAGGGAGAAGAGACCTATGTCCTGTCCAAGCCTGCCCTTTAGCACCAGCTTCTCCTGGGGCATGGCTTCCTTACCGCTGACCCTGGCTGGGCTCATCCCCAGCCCCCATGACCCGAGAGGGTGAGTGGGCGGCCCGGGCCTCACCCACCTCGTGCTCGAGGCTGCTGTACTCGCCCTCCGTGTTTTCACGGACGATAAGGATGTCTATGTCTCTGTGCCGGGTCACCACTCCTGGCAAGCTCTTACAGTGGATGACGTTGGCATAGAGATCCAGACTGGTGCTGGGGGCAGAGAGAGAGAGGCAGCTGGCCAGTGCCACAACTCTGCTGGCATACCCCACCCCACACCCAGCAAGCCTTCATCCTGTGCACAGGGCTCTCACCGGAGGATGTTGTTTCGGGACTTGTGGGACGGTGGCAGGTTATGGTTTGTTTCAATATTGCCTGCGGGACAGAAACAAGACAGACAGGCTGGAGGGCAGCCCCCAGGCTCAACCGAGCCACCATATTCCCCCTCCTAACCTAGGGAACGCGAGCCAAAAGCAGCTCCAACCAGAGGAGAAGACAGCTTCTGGCAGCAGAAATACGTCACAGAACACCAGAGTGTAACTCCAATGTACGCCCCTCCAGGGCGGGGGATGGGGGCATTTGGTTCATGGATGGGTTCTGGGGACCTAGAAGAGCACCTGAAAGATAGCAGTCACTCAATAAATAGTAAATGAATGAATGAATGAACTAAGAAATGAATAAACAAGGGTTAGCAGCTGGCCAGAAGATCTGGCCAGACCCTGGGCAGGGAATAGCAAGTGGATAGAGAGTGACCACTTCTGCTTATTAACAAGCTGGCTGGCCAGGCTGGCGCCAGCAAGGTGACCTTGGCCAGGATTACCGCCAGGCCCCACACTGAGGTGCCACACGAGCCCCACCTCAGGGGCAGACCAGGGCTGCCTGAAAAAGACCACGGCTTGGCCTTGGCTGGATCCAGGGCAACCAGAGCAAGGGCATCAGGGAGCTAGAAGCCTCTGGGAGAAGGCGGTCAGAGGGTGCCGAGCAGAGGAGGCCTTTCTCAAGGCCCACCGGGGCTGCTGGCCCCCCCAAGTCACACCCCACTGGGACTGCCTTCCCCCAGACGGCTGTGGGTACCCTGTGGTTGGCATGGCAACCCCTCCACTTGACTGCCAGGGCCTGGGGCTCTACCCAAGTTCATCATTGCTCACATGCTCCTCACAGAGAGCCAGGGATGGGCTAAAGTTCGCAGAATGAGTGATGGAAACAGTTTAACATGGACCAAAGCAAGTCAAATTCGGGAGGAACTAGAATTCCTGCCTGTAACATCCACAGCTGTGCTGGCCGGAGTCCAGGCAGCAGGCAGAGGGTTGGAACTGCGTCTCTGTGACATTTGGTTTGTGAAGGAAGCTCTGAGGGTCAAAGCTGCCCTCTGCAGAGAGGGCTGCCTCAGGAGGCAAGAAGGGAGTGTGAGGGAGCCCATCACTGGATAGGGTCTCACACAGCCTAGTGCCACCAAACTCTCAGAATCATAGCACACACGGGCTTCCAGAAGCTTCTGTCCACTCTCCAAGCACAAGGATCCTCTCAAGCCAGAAAAGCCCTGAAGTCAGAGCCATAGAGCCCCAGGGACAAGCATCAGCTCCGAGGTGAAAGGAATTGTGCACAGCACCCCGTTCCGGCACAGCGCCCCAATCCGGCCCCGGAGCTCACCCTTCAGGGCCACACGGTTCCGACGGATGGCCATGATGGCATTTCGGATGTCCTCTTCATCAGCGCTGGAGCTCACATGCACCTCCTCAAAGTCCACTGGCACACACGCGTGCCTAAGGCAGAGCTGAGTCAGGGTGGCTGGCTCCGGTCCTCCCCTACACCTCCTCCAGGAAGCCTGCCTGGACCATTGGGTACAGAGGCCTCTCCCCTGCCACTGCCCACCCTGACCTGGCTCTGGCTGAGAGGAGACTGGGCCCACCGGCGCCAAGTAAGGGGGACACACTCGCATTCCATGACATAGCTAACAGGACAGGTGTCATCACCTCTCCCACACCCAGGCCAGCATGGCGGGACCACAGGCACCAGGAGGAAAGCCTGGGCATACAGCCCCCCTGTCCAGGTTCACTGGCCCTCTTGGCACAAAGTTCTCAGGACCCCCCCAACCCCCCCACGGCTGGGCCCAAGGCACAACCTTCCCTACGGATACAGGTCAAGGGGAGGTGCGCCCAGAGACTCTGTACCTGAATACAGACTTGACGTGCAACATGAGCTCTGGCCCAATGCCGTCCCCTGGGATCATGGTCACCGTGTGCCGCCCACCATACTTAGCTGACGGTGGCTGGAAGGGGGGGGGTGAAGGCGGCCCTTCAGTTCCCTTTCTCCCACCAGCACTGACCCAGTGGGCTGGCCAATTGCGAGGTGCCAGCTCAGGGTACCTTACCCCCACACCCCACCCCATGCCATCCCAGACAGGGCTGCTTACGGGGGCTCCTTGGTCAGAAGGATGGCAGCAGAAGCAGTTCCCGCCCCCGCCTGGACTTGGGTCAATCCCAAAGCAACTAAAAGCCCCAAACCTAACAGGCAGATGAGGAAAATACTCACAATTGTACGTTGCTAGAGGGGGACAGGAAGGAAAAAGACACGGATCAGCCAAGGTCGGAGGAATAAGGCTGGGCCCGGGGAATGGGGCCTTGTTCCTGGGGACGCTGTCTAGCACAGTTCAGGTAAGGAGTCTGTGCCTCAGAGGGAAGGACACAGGGGGCCAGGGAGCAAAGAGGCACGGCATACACATGAGCACATGCACACACGTGTGCACACACACGCACACACAAATATACGTGCATGCACCCGTACACAAACGCCTCTGCACGCGCACACACAACAGGTACACGCACACACAAACACAAACATATACATGTGCAAGCACACACATATATGTGCATGCACACACCTGGGCAGGTACTTACTGAGAAGCTCCTCCGGGGGGCCCTGGGGGCACCTAGAACCTGGCAAAGAGAACAAAGATGCCAGTGGTTGTTGTCCAGCCCAGAAAGTCAATCTGGCAAGGGCCAGCTGAGCTCTTGGCAGGGAAGAGGGATCGTCCCCACCATGCCTAGACAGGCCCTGCGTGTCATCCCTCTCCACCTCCCCCACGCACCACTGTCCGGCGAACAACAGCGCACAGCAGGGGTCCACATGGATGACTCCAGAGCCTCCATTTCCCGAGGTGCAGCCTGTCGGAGCACCACAGAGAGTCACCACAACCCTTCACGCCTCCTCAGCCCCACGGTCAGGTGTCCAAAAAACGTTTATGTCTCCACCCCTGCTTTTGTTGCTTCTGATTCTTTTTTGGCCAATTACTCCTGCTTAGTGTTGGCCCACCGAACGTGGTACAATAAGGAAGCCATTATAACAAATCACGGGACCACCATGATGATAGTTTCATCGTTTCTTCATCATTTTTCCTTATTGCAAAAGCAGCATATGGTCAGAACATGGAGAAGATCGAGAGCATGGAGACAGAGGAAAAAGACAGCACCCAGCCCCCCTTGGCCCAGACACAAGCACCACCAACCCCGTAGGCAGCAGCCTACCGGAACCAGAAGCCCAAGGCAGTGCGCTGACACTGGCCCCTCGCAAGGCTTTCACAGAGCACTGCAGAACTGCTGTGAGGTCTCCCTGGATGAACGTCCCCAACCCCTGACTCAGAAGCAGCCATGTTTGGTCACTTTGGTGCCACGCTCGACAGCTTCAGAGCAAAAGCCACCCGAGCCAAATGGGACAGGTGCTGAGAAGTGACGCATCTGGAGTCCCATACTGTCCCAGAGGGAGAACCGTGTGTCCCAGGTTCCATTGCAGGGGGGCTACAGGCCCACACACATTCCTCCCTGCTGCACCCCACCCGGGGAGCCCCCAATTCAAAGCGGCAAGGGCAGAGCCAAGGTCCTCCTTGTCACTTGGGGATACCCTACCACTCGCCTAGTGGGGCAGCAGCAGAGTGTTCCAGCCAATGGCAGAGTCACCATGGCCATTTTCCAAAGAGCTGTGCCTTTCTGCGAGAAGTCCAGAAAGCTCAGGCAGAGGCTGACCATCCCTGCCTGGATCTCCCCGGCCAGTATTCACAAAGCCTCCACTTGCACGAGCCTGAGCAGCACAGGTGTGCCACTGACCTGCCCTAGCCAGGGGCTAAGACACAGGTGACTATGAGGACAAGAGGCTCTAGGGACAACTGCTGATCCATGTGGCTCCTGGATCTGTACCCCAAGCACACTCGGGGCTTTCCTGTTTTCCTTTTAGCATTTCTCAGCGTCTGGATTAATTTTATTTGTAGGCTCTCATACAAACTTGTGGAAGGCGGCTTAGACTGCTCTTCCTCCAGGAAGTCTTCCCTGATACCCTACAGCTGTCAAGCTGTCGGTCCTCCTGGGCTCCCAAAGCCCTCTGTACTCCCTCCCCTACAACCACAATCTCCCTTGGTTGTCACTGCTTTGCTCCCTCCTCAACCCCTAAGCCCCTGAGAGTAGAAGCCATGTCTGTCCAGTCCCCTGCTGTCAACCCAAGGCCCAGCAGAATGCCTGGCTCAGAGCTGGGACACAAGAAATATTTCCTGAATGAATGAGCACATCAGCCAATGAAGGACAAGATGGTATGCTTTGGGGCTAGGGAGACCTTGATCCAAATCCACCGTCCACAGCTCTTGGCAGCAAAGGACTTAATCTTACTGCATTTCCCGCCCTCACTGAACTCCACGGACAGAAGTGCCTATTTTATGCGACTACTGGAAGGATGAAGAGAGAGGGGGCTCCCACATCCCACATCTTAGCGAGGCTTCTCTCTTCGGCATGTTTCTGTTGGATCAAGTGCCAATGGTGCCTGCTTGTTTTCCCACAAGGTCCCAATTAGTAGGACCAAAGATCTAGGGTTCACCTCTAAAGGTTCCCATACCCAGGACAATCGGTCTCAGGTCAAGGCACTGCCTGTACCACCTGTTCACTGCCCCCCATCCCCACCCAGTGGGGACACAAGCACACACACGGGAGGTCAGGGACGACACAAAATGTCTTCACCAAGTCGCTGTGGAAGCCTAGCTGCCAGAGCCGTCAGGACCTCTGGAAAGCCTCTCATCAGCAAGGTGGGAGAAGTAGCATTTTAAACAGAATTTCATAAAGCATAAACTGTTACAGGGCAGTCTTCCCCAGGGGTCAGAGAGGGGAAGCATGGCAGGAGATGTGTTCAGGAGTGTCAGCAAAGTCACAGGGTTCTGGACGGTCAGAGTTGGCTGGATCCTTTGAGACAGAGGGGAAACTGGAGCCCAAAGGGAAGAGGGGGACCGGCCTAAAGCCACACAGTGGATTAGTCAGGGAGCCGGGCCTAGAGGTCATATCTCTTGTCCCCTAGGGCCAGTCCTGGCTGGATGAAGCTTCAGATGGCTTCCAACCCACCCAGGGACTAAGTTATCCTATTTAAGTCTGTAAAGAGAGAGGAATCGGGGTGGCCCCGTGGTGGAGTGGGTAAGTTCCACGCTCCGCGTTGGCAGCCCAGGGTTTCCCCAGTTCAGATCCTGGGCAAGGACATGGCACCACTCATCAGGCCATGCTGAGGCAGCGTCCCATATAGCAGAACCAGAGGCACTCACAACTACAATATACAACTATGTACTGGGGGGTTCGGGGAGAAGAAAAAAAAAAAGATTGGCAACAGATGTTAGCACAGGTGCCAATTTTTTTTTAAAAAAAAAAAAAGAGAGAGAGAGGAATCGGACCTGAATAACCAAGATCCTAAACTGAGAACTGCAGAAACAAGCCCCATGGGCTCGCACCCATCCAGTCTGAGAAACCCTAGCTCCCTCCCATTCCAGGCGCCTGCAGGGGAAAGGCATCTGGGGCTGTAAGAATGTCGGGGGGGGGGGGTGAACTCAGGGGTACTGGTAAAGTCCGATTTTCCACCTCCATTGGGACAGGTGGCAAAGCGGTCCCCAAGAGGGAGACCCGAGGAGGAACGGAGGCCGGGAACGGGATTCCCAGGGCAGCAAGAGAAAGGGGGCTGCGACATGTGACCGTCTCGGGAGGGCTCCCATAAGGATACTAAAGAGGTGACACTCGGCCCGCAGCGGCCCACTCTCCCCGCCTGTCCAGAGCTTCCCCATCACAAGATGCAGATCCCTGGGGAAGACGGACCAGGGCCAACTTTGTCCAATTCCCTCACTGACAGCGAAGGCGGCCAATCAACCCCTGAGCACAGCCCTCTCCCCGCCCCTTGCGGGGCCCGTAGCCAATCGGGCTCCACGACGCTTCAGAAGCTGCGGCCCTCCGGCCGGCCCGGCAAGGTGCGACGACCCCCAGCGAGCGCTGCAGCTATCCCAGGGGCCCGCTCCTCCTTCTCACCTCCCAAGGACGGCAGAGGAGGGTCGGCCTGAGTACTGCCTTAGCAGCACCGCCAGCAGCAGTCGCCACCTTCAGCGCCATGACGGAAAGTGAGAGCCGCCACACACAACACGCAGACACCGCTCTCGCGAGAGTTAGGCGGGGCGCGAAGGCCCCGGAACAGGGGCGGACCCAGCAGTGCGCATGCGCACGGCCGCGCCGGTTCCCACGCCCCCTTCCGGCGTTGGGAGCGCCGCCGCCGCCGCCATCTTGGGGGGGGTTGGCCAGCGGGGCTCCCGGTCTTGGGAGGGGACACGTCAGTGCCGCTAGCGACTTCACAGGCCCGCCCGGCTCGCCAGCTCCTGATTGGCTGCCGTGGCCGCTTACGCGTCGCCCTTCCTCGTCTGCCTCTCGTGTTCAGGGGAGTCGTTCTCTTTTTCCCTCGGCAGAGAAGAGGCGATGGCGGCGCTGGCATCTCTCGGCGCCCTGGCGCTACTCCTGCTGTCCGGCCTCTCCTGCTGCTCAGGTAGCGGCCTGGCCGGAGCTCGTTTCTGGCGAGCCTCTCTCCCACGACTGGTGGTGCGTGGGGGGGAGGAGGGGTGCGGGCGAATCGGGGGTCTGGGCCTTCTTCCTCCGAGAGGCAGGTGGCCTCGGGGCACGGTGACCAAGGCCACCACGCGCTCCTGCACCACACACGTTTACCCAGCAGCCAGGCTGTTGGAAGAAACAGCCAAATCTTTCCCCAGTCTGCTCCTGCGAGGAAGAGTCCCAGAGCCTCTCCCGTGTGCCCGGCCGCCAGGTCCTGCAGGGAAAGTGACACACGTCCCTGCTCCCTCTCCCGGAGCTCCCGGTTCCGGAGGGGGTCGGACAGGAGCAAAGCTTACAGCGCAGGGTGGTCAGGGCGAGAAACGGGGTTGGTGGAGAGAAGCCACTTGACCCGGTGCAGTGGGGCGAGGCCTCCCCAGGAAGGGAGCTCCAAGTGAAGAGAGGAGGAAGAGGGGACCGTCAGGGTAGAGGGGCCGTGAGGGTGGGCGAGTTAGATAGGAGCTGAAGAGGGAAAGGTAAGCGGGGACCGTGAATGCCAGGCCAGACTGCTGACTTTTTCCCTGAGGGCCTGGTGTATCCTTAAAGGGCTTTTCAGCAGAGCTGAGCCACGGTCAGATCAGTTTAGCTTCTTGAGAGGTTCTTAACACCTAGTGGCCAAGATGAGCTCAGACTGGAGTCCAGGAGTGTATTTAGGAAGAGGACCTTGCAGGAGCCAGCACCAGGTCTGAGGGTCTGGACAGGGTCCGGGCCACTCTCTGCACATTCACTTTACCTGCCCTACTTCAGGCCAGCACCATTGGTGCCTAGAGTGTTTCACCAGCTTAATTTTAAGGCCGCCCTGCCTGCACTCTTCTCACCTGCCCCTCAGCAACTCCTCACGCTGTAGCCAGTAATGTCTGCAAAGAACAAACCTGGCTGTAAAACCCTTCAGTGCTCTAGTGTCCATAGGAAATAGGTCAAGCTTAGCAGGGCACAGCAGGATCTGTGGGATGCGGCTCCTGAGAACAGAGAACTGCCCCCCACTGATGTTCCCAGGCATCTTCCTCCCGCTGTCCAGACCCAAAGCCTTCTCTCTGCCTCAGCCGAAGGCATGGCTCTGCTGGGACACCACATCCGAGAGCAGTTGGCTGAGAACTTTCCCACTGGTAGCATTTGGGTGGCACCCTTCCTTCCTTGTTGCCTCTAGCAGTGTGGAGCTGGCTAAGGCAGCATCCTTTCTAAGGGCAGCCCTGTTCAAGGGGACAAGTCGTGCTTCTGGATCTAGAGCCTCTCCCATTTTCTTCCCTTGGGAAACTCTAGGGCCAGCCTTGGCCTTCTGTCAGCTGTGGCTCTAAAGCCCCCGGGCGTGGCCGGCAGCACCATGCTTGGCATCTGCGGAGGATGCCTTTGGTAAACAGTCCAGAGCTGTGCGTGGCTCTCAATTGAGGTCAGCCTGGCCCCCTTGGCTTCTGGGGGTGCTCCAGGCCAGGGTAGCCTGCAGCCCCCAACCAGTACATGGCTTCCCTGTCCACAGGTCCAGGCACAGATGCGAGTTGTGCAGTGAATCCATCCAGTCCCATGACCACACACTTGCCTGCTCTTTTGCCCTTGCACTGAGGTTCCACCTGTACAAAGCCTCCTATCCTCCCCTCCTTTCTTCAAGGCCATCCGACCCTCCTTGCCACTGCACTTCTGACTCGTTTGGATCTGTCTCCCACACCCCATCTGGCAGGGTTCAAAGGGCCCTGCGTGTCTTCAGTTGACAAGGTCTGGGAGGCGGGGTCAGAGTGGTCCCTTCTGCCCCTCAGCCCAGGCATCTCTCCACCTCCTCCCTGCAGCAGAGGCCTGCGTGGAGCCCCAGATCACCCCTTCCTATTACACCACCTCGGATGCCGTCATTTCCACTGAGACCGTCTTCATTGTGGAGATCTCCCTGACATGCAAGAACAGGGTGCAGGTGAGGCAGTGGAGGTTCAGCCAGGAGGGTGCTGGGGTGAGAGGCAGGCAGTGAGCCTGGGACCTTGATCAGCTCTTCACTGGCAGCTGATGGGGTCAGACCTGGGAACCCATGTGGACAGGAGAAGAAAAATCTTGATTCACAGGCGTAGGAGAGATCAGGGCACTGCTAGGCCAGATTCTGGCAGGTGTTTAAAGAACATTCTCCTAACCTGCCTGGTCTGCTTTGCCTGGGTGAAGTACCATAGGTAGACACCTTGCTGTGTCTTGAAAGAGTGAATGTGGGAAGTGAGAAACAGCTAGGGGTCAGCCCCCAGGCTCCTGCATCCTTTTTCTGATTGCTCTTTGCCAAGGTGTATGTCCACATGGGTGTCCTGTAATTTCCAGACTGAGCAGCCCTGGCCTCGGCCCCTGACCTTAACCTGTATCCCAAAGGCCTGAAGAAAGAAGTGGGGCCTTTTGGGGTAGAACAGTTCTTGATTGGGCACGCTCTGACCCCAGCACCCCCTTCCAGGTTCAGAAATAACGAGGACACTTCGATCATCTCACCACTGTTCACAGTTAACAGGCTTGCTGCGGGTTAGGGAGGCCAGGCTGTAGGGGGGATGTGCCCGCCCCATAGGGGAGACACGCAGAAAGGCAGTGACAGCATTGGTGCCTGTTGGTTCCCTGGCACAGCTCTGGGTCGTGGCAAGCCGACCTCCATGGTTCTCACATGGTACCTCCTGCCAGACACACTGCAGCCGCCAACTGTGCCCAGCCTTCCTGCCCGCAGGGCATAGGCACTGCTGTGGGCAGCACGGTGGGGCCTCTGCTGATGACCAGAGAGGGAAGGAGGTGACTCTCCCTTTGTCCCCTACCCCAGAACATGGCTCTTTATGCTGACGTCAGTGGAAAACAATTTCCTGTCACCCGGGGCCAGGATGTGGGGCGTTATCAGGTAAGGGATGCTGCAGTCGTCATTTTGGGGGGAAGCCACTTGCTCACAGGTGTGACTTGAAGGTGGCCTGGGGTTCTTTGACTCAGGCCTCTGCTAGTCGTGCTGTGTCAGCGCTGGCAGGGTGGCCCTGATGTCTCTACTGCGCTCACCCCCTGCTGAACCCCCAATCCAGGTATCCTGGAGCCTAGACCACAAGAGCGCCCATGCAGGCACCTATGAGGTCAGATTCTTCGACGAGGAGTCCTATAGCCTCCTGAGGAAGGTGAGCGTCGCCAGGAGCGTGGCCCGGCCTGCAGAAGGGACGGCACCCCGGCTTCCACAGCCATGTCCACCCCACAGGCCCCTCTTCCTAAGGCTCTGGCCACGAGAGACCTTGCTTATGGGGAGCAGGATGGCCAGATGGGCGCCTTCCTGCCCGCCTAACCACCCCACCGGTCCCTGTGCCTTCCGAGTTCCTCTCTCCTGTTTTCCATGCTCAGGCCAGTGTTCCTGCCTCTCCTACCCCTCCCCTCCCCACCCCATCCCACCTGGCAGGGCCCCCTGACCCCAGCACCTCCCTTGCAGGCTCAGAGAAATAATGAGGACATTTCTATCATCCCGCCCCTGTTCACAGTCAGTGTGGACCATCGGGTGAGTGGGCTGAAGAAGCTGACCTGGTCTCAGGGGAAGCAGGGAGGACACAACAAGCCTCACCCTTTTGGGGGGTGGGGGGTGAGGGCTGGGCCGTAGTTGGCCAGTGGGTCTTCCTGCCACAGAACGAGGGTGACTGGGGCTGGCTGGCCCCCTCGCCTGTCCTTCCCCTAAGCTGGCTTTGGTCTCCTTTCTTGCAGGGCACCTGGAATGGGCCCTGGGTCTCCACTGAGGTGCTGGCCGCAGCCATTGGCCTAGTCATCTACTATCTGGCTTTCAGCGCCAAGAGCCACATCCAGGCCTGAGGGTGGCGCCCCTGCCCCCTGCTTCTTTGAATAAACAGTCACTGGCTCCTCACTTGAGTTGCTGTGCTTCGACCCCCAGGCAGAGCCAGTGTCCCCAGTCCCCTCCCTCTTGGCTCTCTTGCGTTTGCTCCGCTCTCTGCCATTGCGTGCTCTCCTTCCTCAGCCCCCAGTTAGGCCTGCCCTGCCTGGTGTTCCCAGTGCCCAGTGTCCACCTTCTGCCCCTCCCAGTTGCCTGCATGGTTTTGAGTGGGGCATGGGGTTACACCTCCCCCCACTCATGCCTTCTGGCAGAGAGGACTGCCTTGTTCTCTCCTGCCCTCACCCAGCTCCCTGGCAGAGCTGTTTGTTTGTCTGGCCTGCTGGGTGTGGGTCTTCTAGTGGTCCACTCAGGGAAGGGCCTTCTGACCACCTGCCTTTGCGAGGGCAGCTGCCCAGGGAAAGTGGGGGGGCCCTTCCCAGCTTCTCCAAAATCCAGCAGTCAGCAACACATGTAGGCACAGCCCTGCCTGACCTTCAGAACAGCTCCCGTGTTTGGAGCCCTGGCCCCAAGCCACACACTGACAAGCTTTCCTTGCTTTTCCCATGGAGCGCTGTGAGCGCCCCATCTTGCTGATGGGGTTGAAGCTGACACACCTGGCAGCTCGGGGGTGGGGGTCATTCCAAGCCTACACCCCCACCCCTCCACATTGCCTCCTAGTATGCGCCACTTCATGGTGTCAGGTGGGACACATAGAAGGCACAGGAAGACATGACCTGGAGCCCACATCTCTGAGGAGCCCACTCACTACTAGCCTTTCCCTAGTGCCACTGATGGCTGGAGAGCTGGTGAGTGCTCAGGGTGCAAATCCCAGGGAAGCCATTCCCAGCTGTGGTCCTAGTCAGTTTGCTCAGCTGTGACGCAGTGACTGCTTCCTCTGGGATGTCTGTGAGGAATCACTGGGACCAGCTGGCAAAGCCCCTGGCAGCCTGGTGCTCGATCACAACGGCTAGCTAGGCTAGTTAACCAGCACAACGGCTGCTAGCCGGCTGTTACCAAAGAGAAACAGTCTGAGTAACTGCGGTGGAAGACGCCAGGTAGGCTGCATTTGAAAAGGAGGGTAGACCCAAAACCTACCTGGGAGGGGGCCCTCCTCAGTACCTGGGTTCTGTCTTCTGAGGTGGTGGGAGGGGCCAGGAATGTGGAGGGTGAGGGTGGCTTGTGACCCAGGACTGCCTGGGGACCTCCAGATAAGGGGTCGCCAGCCTCTCCCTTCACCCTCAGTCCTCGGGCAGTGGGTCGGGATGAGGGCAACTGGGAGGAATGGGGAGGCTCCAGGAAAGAGCTGGGTCCTTGCCCCAAAAGTGGGAGTACAGCAGGAGGGTTGGGGCTGAGAGTCCGGCCAGGACCAGGCCAGGTTAGGCCGCTGGCTGATGGGGTTTCTACATTCCAGAAAGACCAGCAGTGGGAGCTCAAGGGGTGCCTGCTGGCAGTGATCACCACTCCGCCTTATTGCTAAGGAGTGCAGGGAGACAGGTCCTCACCTTCTGCCAACAGTCTGCAGGGCAGGTTCTCAGGGCCTGGCCAGGCGGGAGGTGAGGCAGGCAGGGTGGACAGTGGCAGCTGTCAGCCACCCAGTGGCTCTTTTTGATCTTGGCTCCACCACCCTGCCCAATGGTGGTGGGATGTGAATGTGAAGTCAGTGTTCCAGGGCATCAGTAGCCAACAGCTGCTAGCCCTCCTGGCACCACCTCTCCCAGAGCCAGTGAGAGCTGAGCCCCAGTGCTGGCTTCCAAAGGCCAAGGGCCTCCAGGTTCTGGGTTTGTCCTGGCCCACATCCCAGGAGCACTGGGCCTTCAGCACTCCACTCCCACCCCCCAGAGCAAGAATGGAGTCACTCTAGAGTCATCACAGTGAGTCGCCCAGCAGCTGGAGAGGGATGCCCTGGAACAGTTGGCCCTGATTCCCAACTCCATCCAGTTTTCTGTGACAAAGGCCAGGCCCTTGGAGCCCCATCCTCCTCCACAGGGGCCTATATGGAGCCCAAGTGTCCCTTCCAGAAAAGAGGAAGCTGGTCACAAGAGTCAACGGGGCTAGCCCTCAGCTCTAGAGGCCTTGGAGGCCTAAGGAAGCTGGCGTCTCCCCTTCACCCCTTTTCACCAACAAGCCCTTCCCTCCCGCTGCTTTTTCCCTGGCCTGCTGTGTGACCTGCTGTGTGGCCGAGAGATGCAGCCAGCACCCTCAGGGGCCAGCCTTCCCAGCAGGGCACCCAGCTTCTGACTGGCACCCAGCTTCTGATTTCTCGCTCATGCCCATCTCTGCAAATTAGCCTAATTAACAAGAGGTCTGCATTACTGTTTCAGAATTTTAATACATCCTCTCCCACTTCAGCTGGGGGCAGTGTCCCATGTTTGTCCGGGAGACTGAGCTCCTCGGCTGCACTGCCCACTGCAGGGGGCGCCATGCACATGATAGGCCATGCCCATAGTGCCCCTGGACTTGCTGTCTTTGGGGCCCTGGCCCCTACCCAGCATTTAGCATGGTTCCTAGCACGTAAGAGATGCTTGATGGTTTGCTGCACTGAATGGAACTGCAAGCATTTGCCTGCCCCTCTGGGAGTTCCAGAAATGGAAGGGCCCTCTGCGGCCAGCAGTGTTCATCCACCTGGCCAAGATATTTCTAAGCATCTTCTCCGTGCTAGGCACTGGGGGGGGGGGGGGGGGTGTTCCCCAAATACAGAGTAGCTTCTGCCTTTCAGAAGCTCCCAGTTCCTTGCCCCTGCCAGGGCTCTTCCTGAGCTGGAGGGAGGAGGGGGAGTGGGACGGGGTAACCCATTTCTCTCGGGTTCCACCAAAGCAGGGGTGTTGGCCTCATCCACGTGCCAGTGGCAGGCCCCCGCAGCCAGTCCTGAACCAGGCCTCTGCCATCCTTCCTACATGAGTACCATGTCACATCTCTGAAATGATTCATGTGACTCTGTCATGTCTCCTGCCAGGGTACAGGACACTGACTTCAGAAGACCTTGCTGTTCCTCAGTGACACATCAAGAAAGAGCTGAGTCACAGCTTTCAATTGACCCCATCCCACCCCGACACGTCCCTACCCTGCCCCAAACTGACATTGACACCTCTTCTCCCAGCATGATGAGAGTGAACACAGGGAGGCCAGGAGTCACAGTAAAAAGGCAGCTTGCTTTATTCACATGATGCCGATGGGGGACAGGGGCGGGCAGCCTGTCTGCCTCCGATCTGAGGCTCTCTGAGCTGGAGAGCCCAGGGGGCCTGAGGCCAGCTCTCACTAAAATGCACAGGTCCCTGAGGGCTGCCCAGTCCACACTTGCAAAGTGGGGTGCCGGGCATCTTCTTCCCAGTCAGCCCAGCTGGCCGGGCAAGCCTTTCACTTGGGTCCGGGCCCCTCCCTCAGCTCCATGTGGGTCTTGTTGCCAAGGTCTTCTGCTGCTACTCATGGGGCTTGGCTTCTGGACCCCTCACTGTCTAAGCGCACCCCTCAAGCCCACACAGAAGAGACGCTGCACTCCTGACAGCATGAGGCACAGCCCCGGGCTTGGCGATTTCTTCTTGGATGGACACTGCCCCCTCAGTCCCCGCAGCCTCGGATATCCCTCAGTCACTGGGGAAGCAGGTGGCTCCCAGGGCAATCCTCACAAGCCACATCAGAGGCTTCCAGTCCACACATCTCAGAGTGGAGGCTAGCAGAAAGCTGCTTCCTATTCTTCCCTTCTTTCCCACCCCATCCCTTCCCCCCCCAGCCCTCCCGTTTTTCCTCCCCCCCACCTCCTTCCCAGCCATCACTTGGGATTCCACCTTGTCAGGTTACCTGAAGGAGCTGCCAGCCCCTAGAGCAGGTCCACAAAACAGAAAAACGACAACTGGCAAGCACAGAAAGGGAGAAAAACCACAAAAATCAGGGTTGCCTTTGTCTATAAACAACAGAGGCTGCCAGCAGGGAGAGAGGCTGTGCTCAGGTTGAAGCCAGACGTTCTCGTGCTTACAACAGTCCTCTCACCTCTCCTTGTCAGCTCAACTTCCCCGCCCCCAAGTACCCACGCAGAGAGAGCTCTGGAGGGGTATGCACGCGCATGCGTGCGCAGGTGCCTGAGCTCCATGTCGCACACACACATGCACACAGCGGAAGGGATATCCATCACAGGTCTGTCCCCAATGCCAGTGGTCGACATAGTCTCTGTACTTGGGGAGAAGAAAGTAGGTGATGCAGAGAAGTGTCCCTTCTCAGGGCTTCTCTCTGATAACAGAGTCCTGTGCACACACATAAAGATAGGTGTGGCACACACAGACACACACTAGATTCTAAGGGAGAGTAGGGACGGGATGGGGTCCCAGGAGACTCACTGGACTTGGGCCGAGGCAGAGGGCCCGCCCTGGAGCGCAGCTGGGCTCCCATCTGGGCAGCTCAGACTGTGGTGACCGAGAGCAGCGGGTTGTAGACCCGCTTGCCGTCGGCTGAGCGTGTGCCATGGGCCAGCATCTCCTGGATAGTGATCCAGTTGTCTAGGATCTTCTTGTTCCTCTTCTTCATGGTCTTGCGGTGGCTCAAGGCGATGATGTTGAGCTCCGCCTTACTGTCGCCATTCTGCTGCTCCCTCAGGCACTCCAGCCTGCTCTGCATCATAAACTCACGTCGCTTCCGCTGCTCTCGGGCCCGGATCAGGTGCTGCTTCCGTTCCTCCTTGCTCCAGTACCGGCCCATCTTCATCTCGCTCACTGCATCATCGTCGGTGGTCATGCCGCTGCGCTCCTCCCGGATCTTCAGGGCCCGGGCTTTTAGGAGGCGATCGCGCACTGGCCGCTTAGCCACATAGCGGGTCCCATCACTGCGCACCTTGACCTTCCACTCCATGCGTGGCGCTTCCGTGGCCACCGCCGCCCCGCCTACCCGAGGACTGCTAGCCAAACTCAAGGGGCTGTGGCCCAGCTCCTCCAGGCCGCGCGGCGGGGCCAGCTGCACACAGCTATGGTAGTGCTCGCTCTCCTGGCCCTGACCACGGTGGCGCCGCGAGAGGTAGGGGCTGCCTTCAGGGCCCATGCACTCCAGGGTCACCCCTGTCTTGGGGCTGCGGCGGACTCGTTCCTCCGAGTGCTGTCTCCGGCCCACCTCAGGATCCCGGGATAGGGACCGGAACTTGGAGGGGCTCCCCTGTGGAGGAGCGGCCTTGGGGTGGGTGGCGACAGGGGGGCCGGAGGGGGTCCGGTTCAAGTTGGAGTTGCCAGCAGCAGCCCGCCTCAGGGGGCTCTCCTGCAGGGGCTCTGCAAGCAGTGGGGTGCTGCGGCAGCTCTCACCCGTGTTGTAGGCGCTGGTGCTGTCCTTGTCCGACTTCTCAGGCAGCTCAGAGATGTCAGACAGCTCATGCTTCTTGGGCTCGCCGGCCCCCAGGTCATAGAGGCTCTCCTCCTCCAGCAACCAGGCCTTCATGCAGCGCTCCCGCAGCTGCTGCATCTTCTGCGCCCGCAGGATGTTGCGACACTTGAACTCCAGGTGCCGCAGCTCCTCCTCCAGCATGGCCATCTCATGGCCCAGGCTCTCGTTGCGATTGACATCCAGGCCACTGTTGCTGCTGGCGGCCCGGGGAAAGAGGAGGCCCAGCTGGTTGCCATTCTCCAGGTGGCACTTGATCTCCAGCAGCTCGCGGTAGCGCTCATATTCCTCATCGGTGAGGCCTGGGAGGTCAACCCCCCCCAGCCCCGCCCCCTCAGCCAGCAGGGAGTCCATGCTGAAGTGGAAGTCGTGGCTCTGCAGGGCGTCCCCTTGCAGGCCAAACTTGCGCAGGGTCCCAGGTGTGTTGGTGGCACTCAGGGGCTCGTCCCCCAGCAGGTCGTGCTCAGAGCTCTCCTCGTTGCGGGTGCTCTCGTCGGTCCGGCCCACCCCACTGTCCAGCTCCTGGCTGTTGCTCAGGCCTGGGCCCACATCAGGGGCCCCTTTCTCCTCTTCGTCCCCAAGCTGGGGCAGAAAGACGAGCCCCACTCAGTCTGGGTCCCACAGGCAGAGCAGCTGCAGGAGGCTCGGGATCCGAAGGGCTTTGGGGTCTGATCCGTTTCCCACCCCCAGCCCCCCACCCCCTTCCTCCTGCCTGCCCTCACGACCACCCACCCTCCCTCCTTCCTCACCTGCTGGGCAGGGGGGGATTTTGGCTTCCTCGGACGCAGATCCCCCTCATGCTCAGAGCCAAAGTCATCCAGCAAGTCGTCCCGGTCGCTGTCCTTCCACCGCTTTGCCAGCTGCAGAGACAGGCCCACCCATGCTATCCCTACTGCCTTTTTTAAAATTTAAACAACTTTGTTTAAAGATTGGCACCTGAGCTAACATCTGTTGCCAATCTTCCTCCCTTTTTTTTCTTCTTCTCCCCAAAGCCCCCCAGTACATGGTTGTATATTCTAGTTGTAGGTCCTTCTAGTTGTGGCACGTGGGACACCACCTCAGTATGGCCTGACGAGCGGTGCCATGTCCATGCCCAGGATCTGGACTGGTGAAACCCCGGGCCGCTAAACCAGAGCACGCAAACTCAACCACTTCACCAAGGGGCTGGCCCCCCCACTGCTTTAAGGACCTCCCCAGATACCCCTTCAGTCACCTCTAGGTCCCACACCCAGCCTCCTGGTCTCGATGAAGTCTAACAACCCAAGAAAGGAGGCAGTCCCAGCCCACTCAGCTGTCAGAGGATGGAAGGGGAAACAGGCCCCAGGCACAGCCCGCCCTCTATCAGTGCCAGGTTGTTGGTGTGTCTGTGCCCTTGTCACGGGTCATGCAGCTTCCAAGACAGAAAGCTCAATGTCAGGGAACCCAGGACACCCATCCAGGCACATACCTGGCTCTCAGGCCGAGCCACCAGAAGGGAGATGTTGGTGTTCTCCTCCTGGCTCAGGATAGCCACTGCCTCTTCCCGGTTCTGGACGTCCACACCGTTTATCTGCAGCAGGCCGAGTGCCAATCAACAAGGACACCAGGGCTGGCTCTGGGGCGAGCCCTGGTTGTGCTGCAGGGACCACCTCGCAGGGAGTTTCAAGCCGAGCACCCCAGGCTAGGACAAGCTCTTGGGCTCTGACAGGACGGAAATAAGTGGAAGGTGCCAGGGAAGAGGACAGCCTGGCCTACAAAAGCACATGTGCACATCTGGGGGACAGAGGGAGAGGCTGGCAAGGTGCCAGGTCCTCAACGCCCACAGAGCCCATGTGCACACAGGAAGCAGCCAGGGCAGTCGTGCAGGAGAGCCCGGATTCAGGCATGGCAGCGTGCCTGGCATCAGGCTAGGCTCAGAGCAGGAGAGAGCTGGGATTGGCTAAGGAGGTGTGGCGGGGCAGCCAGTCGGCCCTACCCACGCTCACCTGGATGATGCGGTCTCCCTCCCGGATCCGGCCATCTTTGGCTGCAATGCTGTTGGGATTCACCTGCAAGGCACATGTATCGTGGGGACTTGGCCCCCTCCACAAAGGTACCCTTTCAGGAGGAAGGAGCAGCCTCGCTTTGGGGGCCCTGGAAGCAAACTGAAGGCTCCTTCTTGCTTGCTCCCTCTTCAGCTCAGACCAGCAGCCTCCAAGCTCCAGGAGGCAGGGACAGAACAGCGGGCCCAGGACTAGTCACCTCTTCCCAGCATGAGCCACCAACTTGCCAACCAAAAGCTCCCCAGCCCCTGCCCACCACCCCCAAGCCCCTGCCTCCGGCTGGCACTTGTACAGTTTTGCATGGAAGCCTATTCTTTTGTGTCACAGGCTGGGCAAATGCAGGAAGCTAGATACTTTCCCAGACTCAAAAAAATCAGCCCTGGGGGAGAAGGAGTCCTGTGAGTTACAGGCCCCGGGAGCGAGAATAAAGCCTGGCTAGGAGCTCGTCCTGCCTCAGCCTGGCCTGCTGTCCCACCCTGGGCACAGGTGTCCTGGGGAGGACTGCCTGGCTGGACACACTGAAACCACTGGCTTCCCTGGCCTCACGGGCCGGCAGCCTCCCTATGATGCTCAGCAGGCCCTATTCCTGGCAGCTGGGTCCTTATGGACAGCCTCAGAGCCCCGGGCAGTGTGGAGAGGCTGTGGGGATAGGATGGTGTGGGGACTCTCCATGTGGCAGCCCCTGCCTCAGCACCCACCACCTTGGCGCTCTGCCCCCCTCACTGGTGCCGTACAGATGGACATCATCAAAGTCCAGCTTTGATGTCCTAGCACACAGGAAGGTAGCAAAGGGCTCCACTGCCTTCTAGAAGACCCCACCCCAACACCCTGCCTTCATACCTCTCCAACGTAGATGCCCAGGTCCTCCTCATCATCTGTGCGGTAGCAGACCATCAGGCCCAGCTTATCCCGGTGGCTGGTTTTATACAGCTCCACCTCCTGCCACAAGGGGGATGGAGGAAGCAGAGGAAGAAAGCCCCGGAAACATGTGAGCAAGGCCACATGCTGCAGGGGCAGCAGCCATGGTCCAGTCCCAGACCCAGCAGCCTGTCACCTAGCTGAGTTTCCAGCCCCCAGCTCAGAGAATCTCTCTTACCATCCCAAATGGTGCATGTGTCCAGTGGTCTCTTCTACCAGGAAATGCCCAAGACACACATGGGACACAGGGGACGCACAGGACACAAACATGCGTGGGACGCAGACTCACCAACATAAACCGACCACGGGACCTTACCCGTGCCCTCCCCAACTCAGCCTGACTTGACCATGAGCCTGAGTTAACAGGCTGTGCACCAGGAGGGGCCACGAAGCCCGGCTGCCTGGGGGCAGCAGAAGCCAGGCCGGAGCTGGGCTGTAGACGGCCATCCCAGGGCTGGCTCCTGGGCCCTGGCCTGGCCTGGCCTGGCCGCCCAGCTCACCTCATACTCCAGCTCTTCCATACGGTCTGCCTCCTGCGGGCCGCCCTCCATGAACTCCGCCGGGTCATAGTACTCATGGCTGATGGGGGGGCTGCCCAGAAGAAGGCAGGGTCAGGCTAGCCATCTGTTTCTCTCGTGCCCTAGCCCCAGCTCCCGGGCTGGCCCATCCCAGTGCACTTAGCATGGAGACCTGTTCTGGGTACATCCTCAGGGAGAGGCAGCTCAGCTGCATCTTCCGTCTTCTAGAACTCCCTCCTTCAGAGCTACATGCATCCATGCAAAGACCAGCAATGGTTCTCGAATGGGAGTGTGCAGGGGTCTACTCTCCCTGCTCCATCCCTCTCCATCCTGCCCCATCCCCCTGCCCAGACTCTAATCATGCCAGCCGGCAGAGACCGACTTCTCCAAACTGTGGGTGCCCCTCCCGCCCAGCACTGGCCCCACTCATGCAACGCCCCCAGGAGTTATCCAGGCCCCAGGAGTGCTGGGGAGCAGAGGAGGACCCACTCTACCTCCAGGGATGGCCCTCCTTGCCCTGAGGCTAAGCTTGGCTGCTGGCAGCCTGGGGCTACCTCTCTGCAGAGGAGGGGATCCCAGGAGCACCTCCCTGCAGCCCAGGTTTAGACTAGGGGAATGAGTCAGCGCTCACACAGTCATGAGCCACCAGGCCTGGAGGAGAAGCCCTTCTTCCAAGCGGGCCAAAGAAAGAAGCCGAAGAGATGGAGGAAGTTCAGAGCAGGGAGAGGGATGGGACAGACAAGGATGCAAGAAGATTCAAGGAGTGATGCTTGTGAGGCAGAAGACGATGGAGCGGCAGAGGAGAGAGGATGGAGGAGAAGGAGCTGAGGACCTCAGCCTTCCAGCAGCAAGGTCCCAGGACGGTCCTCCCTTGGCCCTGGGGGTAGATACAACAGGGAGCCTGTGTGTCAGCCTCTCCTGGCCCCTTCACCGGCTGATGTCCAGCCTGAGGCTAGAGGCCCAGAGATTTCTGAGCCCTTGGGTGCCAGTCATCTCTCAAGGTCAAGGAGCCTGCTTCCTGCCTGAGGGGACAGGACAGTCAAGGTCTCCCTGCCACACCCAGAGCTGTGGCAATGTAGCCTCTGGGTGGTGTGAGGATGGCTGCCCCAGGTGGTGTGCCCTCTCTGGAGGCAGGGCCCGGGGCCCTCCTGAGGGCGACTCACAGCTCAGACAGGACGTACGGCTCCAGGATGACCATGGGCGGGGTGGGCGGGCGCAGCTTGCCCAGCGCCATGATATGCTCGAAGGTGATGTCGGTCTGAGTGCCACTATCCACCAGCTGCAGGTCATGGCAGGAGCTGTCCCCCCGGAGGCGGGGGCTGCGTCTCAGCACCTGGATCACCAGGGGCTCCTTGGAGGAGCGCAGGGCCTCCAGGGTTTGCTCTTGAGACAGCTTGGAGAGCTCCTTCCCGTTCACCTGCGGCAGAGACGCCCCAGTGAGAAGCAGCCGCACTGAGCCCCAGTCTACTCAACCAAGCAATCTGCTCTCCACCCTCGGCCCCGCTTCCCCTTGGTGCCCTCACTCCCAGGCAAATCCCACTTCTCAGCCTTGCCCCCACACAGTCTGTTGTGATGGCCGAGGAGCCCCAGTGACTGTGCACAGCATCTGGGGGCTCTGCCCTCGCCCTAGAACATCATTCGGCCCTCCTCCAGCAGGAACCATCCACTCTACTGTCCTCCTCACCCCAGGACCTGTTTCTCCTTCAGGAAGCACTAAGGCCAGAGCTAGCGCGTAGAAGATGGAGGAGAGTCCGCCTTGGCAATGACTGAACGTCTGCTGTGCTCATCTGACATCAAGGCAAGAGGAAGACCTTGACTCCTCCTCCCACGGGAGTCAGTCAACAAATAGGTTCAGGTGGGAGGGTCAGGAAGAGTAAGACATGAAGGACAGGATCTGTCCCAAAGGCAGCGATGGACTCGCCAAAGAGGAAAGGCCACACACAGAGCTAGCTGGCATTGCAGGGCAGCCTAAGAGAGGTGCCAAGGAAGCAGCCCTTAGAAAACCAACGTCTTTCTTGGTTTCTCGGGCACCTGATGCATCTCCCCCAAATCCTGACCCCAACAATCCATCCTGCAGATGAGGATACCAAGGCTCAACAAGACTAAGGGAGTGAGTCGAAGTTATGAGCCAGGCTGGGCTGCACAGTGGTCAGAGTGTGGGTCAGGGAGGAGAAGGCCGTTACAGGCTGGAGGCCAAGGAGAAGGCCAGACTGGAAGAGCCTTGAGGGAAGAGCAAGATGAGAGCCGGTGGAGGACGGAGGGCCTTCCAGGCAGAGGCCAGCAAAGATCCATGGCAGGGCCCCAGGTTGATGGAGCAAGGCATACCCTCAAGGCACCTGGGGGCAGAAGGCTGGCCCCAGCCCAGCCACTAATTTCTGCAGCAGCCTGTGTACACTGGGCCCTGGGACGGTCACTTTTGAGCTAGTGAACCCGGCACCATGCACTACGACGTTGAGGTCATCCTTGGCGGGGAGGCAAGTAGTCTAAGGATGGAACAAACGCAGCCAGAATTCAAGGCATGGGTCATGGGGCCAGGGAGGGAGAATCAGGAAGCGGTTCCTGGAGGAGGGGGGATGGCAGGGTCTTCTCATTCACTCAGCAGCTTGGGGAAGGGCTGTTCTGGGCCTGGGGAGGCCACACACTAACGGCAACACCCCAAATGGCTATACCCAGTGGGTAAGCACTGGAACAGACCTCCGGAGTCCTGCTAAGGAAGCCCAGGGCCAGCTACACCCTACCTAGAAAAGAGCATAGGGAAGGCTCCCTGAGCAGGTGGCCCCTGGCCTTCGTCAGGGCAAGGAGAGGGGCCAGGAAGAGGCAGGGTGGCTGGCTTGCAGGCAGAAGCGAGGTCCCCAACAGGCAGCGTGGATAGTGCAGGCCCACGGAGCCAGCACCTGCCCAGGGACAGAGCTTCTGCAGGATGAAGTGAGAAGGTCCCCAGTTGGGGAAGGCACACAGACACAGGGCTGCGGAAAATGAGAGCCCTTTCTGTTTCCCTGGGTGTCCCAGTCTTCACATCCTCACAGTGGCCCTGCCCTCCCTGGCTGTCTCAGGGGGATGGGCTTCTTCACAGAGATGCCCAATCCAACCAGGAAATCGCATCCCCTCTGCTGCAGCGTAACCCACCAGCTCCTGGAGGCTGTCCCAGGAGGACCGGGCTGTCTCAGCAAAGCACAGGGTGTCCACGGGGACCCCTGGCCAGCCGGTGGCTCCTCTGAGCCACGGAACCTGAATAATTACCTTTCTGCGACTTGATTATGTCCTTGTAAATAATAATTTCAGCTTTTATGTCTCCCCTCTCCCCATACTTTCCATAGTTGGAAAAGATTTTTTTTAAAGATTGGCACCTGAGCTAAAATCTGTTGCCAATCTTCTTCCTTTTTCTTTTCTTTTTATTCTTCTCCCCAACCCCCCCCAGTACATAGTTGTATATTCTAGTTGTAGGTCCCTCTGGTTGTGCCATGTGCAACACCACCTCAGGATGGCCTGAGGAGCGGTGCCGTGTCCGCACCCAGGATCTGAACAAAGGCCACCAAAGTGGAGCGCGCGAACTCAACCACTTGGCCATGGGGCCAGCTCCAGGAAAAGATGTTTTTTAACCAATTTTGTCTAATTATAAAAGAAACAAAGGTTCATTGTAGAACATTTGAAAAGTACAGACAACCATAAGGAAGAAAACAAAACTCACTCAGGATCTCAGGGGTGTGACTGCTGGGAATGTGTCGGGCAACTTTCCTTCCTAGACTTTCCACCGCTGATCATTTTGCAACTCCAGGGCCCCAGGGCTCAGAGCACACCAGCTCGTGTGTATTGGCTCAGTCTCTAATGTCCATCACTAAAATGGTTTTCAATTTTGTTTTATTATAAAGAAGGTTGCAAAGACATTTTTCATACGTTCTGTACATATTTTCTATGTATATCTTTGTGTAACCTACGGTTGTTACGTTAAAGAAAATTTCTAGAAGTGGAATTATTGGATCAAAGAGTATCAAGGACAGCTTGTCAGCAAAGAAGGTATCTGTTTCCAACGGATGGTAAGTGTGAAGAATGTGGTCAGATTGAGGGGTCTGGTACAGCCAGAGAGGCTGCAGTTAGAAAGGCAGGCTGGAACAGAGGGTACGCAGCTGAGCGCCCAGAAGACGGGGCCAGCTGCAGGGGAGTATTTGGGAAGGGCAGTCTAGGAAAGGCTGCTGACAGAGGAAATGTGAGAAATGGCCTTGAAGCCCTTAGCAGAGCCGATGGGTGAAACTGTCAGGAAAGTTTGCGAGCCAATTGGGGGGAAGGTACACAGACACAGGGCTGTAAGGGTCTTTTCTTAGCCTATCTTACCTTCTCATTGTGTTGATGGTGTCTTTTGTTGTCCAGAAGTTTTAGATTTTTTTTTTAAAGATTGGCACCTGAGCTAACAATTGTTGCCAATCTTTTTTTCTTCTCTAAATGTCGTTATCAACATTTCAATGGTATAAACTTTTTAGTTATAAACAAAGGCAATAAATACTCCAAGCCCATGGCTTTCTGATTAGTTTACTACACTTTCCTGTTATCTGTGCTCTTCGGGTCACTTATGCCTAGTGTGTCTGGAAGGAGGAGATACCATATAATGGTGGGTAACTGCGCATCTCTTCCCAACTCAATGTCCCAGGACATCACAGCGGTGGCTGTGGTGGGAGTATTTACACCAAGGAAATATTTACACCACGAAAATCAGCGAACACTCCAAACGACGGCTTATTCTTTCAGAACATTTACCAGCTCCCCACTGCCCTTAAGCCAAAGACTTCCTTAAGAAGCAGAAGGGCTGGGCTAATCTCAGGATCTCTGAGGGGGAAACTCCCGGGCCAGGGTGACAAGTGTGCAATGGGACACTCAGGTGACACTGAAAAACGCAGGAATGTCTGTCTCGCTGGAACCTTTACCCAGTAGCAGTGTTGCTATGGAAACTTGGTCCAGGCAGTGGGAGGGGAGTGCAGGGGGAGCTGGGAGTCAAGAGGGGGATGGGCACAGGCACAGCCTCAGCACCTCAGATGGGGCCATCAGAGGGATGCCTGCGACAGCCCGGCAGCCTTCTCCTTTGGCCCATGCAGCACTTGTGCAGAGGCTTGGACTCGGGGCCACTCCTGCAGGCGGGCGCCACGGGCTCCTTCAGCCCCCTCCTTCTCCTCTTCAGTCATGGTGGGCCTCAAGAGCTAATGAGGATGGGCAAGACAGAGACAGGCCATGACAAGTAGGAGATGAGCCCCTCCCAGATGGGGTGAGGGCTACCAACAAGATGGGGAACTATGGGGCCAGGAGCAAAGCAGCGTGGGGCCAGGCACACAGTAAGGATCCAGTGCCCTCACCCAGTCGTCCTGTCCTGAGGTAGAAGAAGACATGTGCACTGGCAAAGCCACCATAAAAATGTCCCTGACCTTCAGACTGCACGCTCAAGGTCTCCGCTCCGGTCTCCCCTCAGAGTCCCCCTCAGGCCACATACAAATGTCTCCACACACTGGAGGCTCTCCCCACGAAGACACCCAGGACCCACGGCAGTTCACCATCTCCCCTGCCGCCAGCACCCCAAGCCCCCACCAGGCAATTCAGAGTGGATCGAGGGACCTAAATGGACACAGCAGAACCGCTCTTGGGAGTGAGGGAATGACGTCTTTATGATGTTGAGATAGAGAAGCACTTCCTAAGATAAAAAATGGGCAGGGGCCAGCCCCGTGGCCGAGTGGGTAAGTTCATGTGCTCCACTTTGGCAGCCCAGGCTTTCGCCAGTTCAGATCCTGGGCGCGGACATGGCTCCGCTCATCAGGCCATGCTGAGGCGGCGTCCCACATGCCACAACTAGAAGGACCCACAACTTAAATATACAACTATGTATTGGGGGGATTTGGGGAGAAAAACGAAATAAAAAAATCCTTAAAAAAAAAAAGGGCAGACAAGAATAGGAAAGATATAAATTTCACTATGTTAAAATGTAAAACTTCTGGGGGCCAGCCCCGTGGCTGAGTGGTTAAGTTAGGCACTCTGCTTTGGCGGCTCAGATCCTGGGCAAGGACATGGCACCGCTCGTCAGGTCATGCTGAGGTGGCGTCCCACATGCCACAACTAGAAGGACCCACAACTAGAATACACAACTATGTACTAGGGGCTTTGAGGAGGAGAAGAAAAAAAGATTGGCAGCAATTGTTAGCTCAGGTGCCAATCTTTAAAAAAAAAATCTAAAACTTCTGGACAACAAAAGACACCATCAACACAATGAGAAGGTAAGATAGGCTAAGAAAAGATCCTTACAAGGGCCGGCCCAGTGGCCGAGTGGTTAAGTTCGTGCACCCCACTTCGGCGGCCCAGGCTTTCGCCGGTTCAGATCCTGGGTGTGGACACGGCACTGCTCATCAGATCATGCTGAGGCAGCGTCCCACATGCCACAACTAG